AGCTGCGCTCAGTTCGTTAGCCCAGACGGAGACCCAGGCAACAGGCAACGCCTCTGCCCCAGCCGCCGCCCTAACCCTAGCCTTAGCCCTAGTCGTAGCCTGAGTCCATGCCGTAGCATGCTCATAAATGCTCTCGTCTCTTTTAACTGTGTGTATGTGTGTGTGTGTGTCTATCTGTATATGTGTGTGTGTTTTATGTTTTGGCTGCAGACGTTGCTTTTATTGTTGCTTTTGCTGAGAGAGTTGAGGGGCCAGAACTTGCGATAGGGTTACTGACTTGAACCTTGAATTTCAGTTCGTTATGCTGCCAGCAGCTTTTACTGCACTGTTGCCATAGCAATTGTTGTTGTTGTTGTTGTCACGTTTGGCCGTTTATAATACTCGATGCTGCAGTTGTTGCCGTTCTTTGAGCTCCTTTGTTTTGTCCATTTCAGCTTGGTGCACAATTTGTCTTTTACTGTCATTGATTTTCATTTTTCACTGGCACTCGTTAAGCGCTTCCAACAGCCTGCAAAACTATATATTTTTATCTCTAGACCTCTATATATATATTCTATATATATATACATTCATCTACATATGCATATTAGCAGTTGGGTAAGGTTCATTGCAACGTGTTTGGTGGTCTCTGGGTCTCTGTTATGCAAGCTGGTTTCATTTCAATTGCACTGCATTCGAAAGACTCTGGCAACGAACTTGGCTTGTTTGTTAACCATGTCAAATGGACTCTTGCTCTCAGCCTTGTTTATGATGTGCACAGTTAGGCCAAGCAGCCGACTTGATTATGATATACGACAATGGCTTCTATCCGCTTGCCGCCTCTTATACTTTTCTTTTAAACGCCCACAACAACTACCACAACAACTACTACAACAACAATAATACCAAGCACTTATGCAAAAATGCAAAACGTTGTCGGTAGTCGAAACTCATTTGCGGTTTTTTCAAGTCGCCGCACGTTTTGCGGCTCTGAACAAACAGACAGCAATGCAAGGAGTTGGTCAGAGGTCTTATAAGAGGTCTACAAACGATGTGCTTAGAATTGACGAGCTGTCACTATGAGCCGTATGCATGCTAACCGGATGTCTTTCTTGCCAGCTGCTCAGCAAGTTAAATAGATTTACGGTAGCTAGCCATTAAACGGAACTGCTCATAAAAGAGCTTTTTAAAGATTTCATACAATAATCGTGCGCTCCTCCAATCTATGACTGAGCATTTTTAATCGAGTTTATTTTGTTGCTAGAGTTTAGCACGAATTTCAAATGAACTTTAAGATTTGTTAAGAACAGCGAAAAGAAGAATTGTTTGGTTTTTTAATATACCAATTACAAAACAATTACTACGAAGCATGCATATAAATGTAGACACACATATGTATGTATGTATGTCTAGAGATTATATCATAACGGCCATATGGCGCTTGTAAAAGCTAGAAAATCTTTACCCTCGTCTGTTGCAGCGTTTGTCTGAAATGAAGATTGATGAGCTGCTCTGAATATTGATCTATAAAGATTTTAGTCACGCACATGAAAAGCCTTTCAAATCGAGCAAACCCATATCTCTTACAGACTTCCGCCGTAGCTGTCTTATCGTCGAGCCACAGAAACATATTATATAAATTATTGGCTGCAGCCAAACTCGTAATGCTCCAGATCAATATATAAGAAGCAATTAACCAAAATATGTAACTACATTCATACATAACCAGAGTGGATACTCCAAATGACTGCTCACACATTGGGCGATATTCGAGTATGTGATTTGGCGGTAAATAATGCTCAAAGCAGCCAACCGGAAGCACGTCACATACGGCCCACTCTCGTATTCATAATGAGCACTGCATAATGACCATTAACAACGGGCCATGCTTCGTGGGGCAACGAAGTGGGTCTGTCCGTTGGTCAAGCTTTTGAAGCGCCCAAAAAGTGTCAACAACTGACTGGGGGAGACAGCGTAAATATATACATACATATATACGCGTATATATGTACATATATATCTACATTCATTTGCTTAGATTTTTGGTAATGTAACGGTCATGCGTCTGCCCGCCTATATATATATAAATGTTTGTGTGTGTGTCACGTATCCACAAAGCTGAACTGAATCAAAACAAAATTATTTGATTTGCCTACTTGAGAGCGGCTTTGGCTGCAAATGTGGCTTAGCTGCCATCTGATCCGGTTTAAGTTTGATTTGGACAAAACTCTGCTTTTTTGTTTGTTTCTGAAACTATCAACAAATAGCGAATGGATATTGCGTAATTTACGACACCTCGCTTGCATTTGGAAAGCTGAATAAAGTTGGGGAGAAATACATATAAATCAAGTAAACATATATGTACATGTATATATGAATGGCCATATTTTGTCAGGGTGTTAATGGAGATTAATAATTAAAGCCAGATTTGTTGTTGTTTTTGTTGGCTTTGAAAATTTGATTGCTGTTGTTTTTTTTTTTTTTAATTTAAAAGTCTTTGTCTCTGTGCGGCAGAGGATGAGACTGCTGATGACAATGCAGGTTGTTGGTTTCCACCTGTAATACGCATGTGTTAATTTGCGCAGCAACGTGTTCAAAAAAATCATATAAAACTGGAGTGAAGGTTGTTTGCTGGTCGAGCGATTGGCACATCATAATGATCAAATGATACAACTGCATTAAAAAATACTTTCAAAATGATTTTTTGCACTATAAAACTTAGCATAAACGATGAAGAGAAGATAAAAAGATGCAGACAGAATTTCAATATTTTAATAGAATTAAAATCTTTTGAAGAGATTCAAGTTTAATGAATCTAAAATTCGAATCTTTTGATTGCCTCTGGTTATTTAATTCGAGTTTATGATACAAGGTGAATCATCTTGAGGCATACTTCACTGAAATCAGAAAGCAACATAAAATGTTTGTGCTGAATTTACTCTACAATTATCCTATAAACCTATCCGGTCTCTCTCTCTCTCTCTCTTTCTCCCTCACTCTTATGCATATCTATCTATCCAATAATTTCATAACTAAAACTACACAAAAATTAAATAAATATGATTGAACACATGATTGTTTTCAATAGGAATAGATACACATAACTCTCTTAGATGAAGCCTAACTTGTAGCCCAATTTTCCACACAAATTGTATTCACTTAATGCAACGTAAACAACATTAGGGTTGGGCAATCCTAATTTAAGTTTCACCTTCCAACAGTTATCAGATTTTTCAGTTTACGTCTTATCTCTGTTCGATCTAGCTAATGACTGAGAAATGTACTGAGCAGACAAAGAATAATGCTTGCTGGCAAAGCAGGCATTTTCGATAGGGTAAAATACGAAGCCAAAGACATTAGAAAAGCCCGCTACAACAACAACAACAACAGCAACAACAGCTTAGGGAAAACAGTCAGGCCGTTAGACTAGCTGGGCAGCCATAAACAAAATTATTTTCCACTATAAAAGGCATCGTGTAAAGCGGCATTTGACCTTTTCAACTGCTCAACTCGAAAGTTCATGTGCTCGGGCCAGCTAATGAAAAATGCAGCTTGCCTCGGAATTCGGACAGAGGGCGGCGGAGGCTGTGGGGGAGCGAGCGCATCTAATGCTCTTAGGCAAGTAAGAAGAGAAACACGTTTCAACGCGTGTCATCGTCCATGGAGAGGCCAAGACAAAGACCCCGGCTAAAAATTACATGCATATGACTATACACAAAAGCCACTTAGCCATGTACAATTGATAGCTGGAGTTGTTGGAAATGTATCTGTATATCAACGACATTTATTGAGATACATACATATGCATGTATATCTCGTTATTTGTATCTCAATGCAATGACACCACGCTTTTCAGTTGCCCCAACAACAGCCAAGTGAATGCTCCGCGAGTCACTTGGCCGGCCATGAAGTCAACCTGCAATTGGATTTCGAATTGGAGCCGCAAAAGTGTTTCCATACACACTCAGGCTCGTGTGCTTGTGAGAGGCAATCGTGGTAGACACTGTGCCAAGTGCGTTTGCATTTGAAGGTCACTTGAATGGCACACAGCCAGCCATAGGGTAGCCAAGCTAAATTTAATAGACTAAGGCCTTACGTAAATACATAGTGTTGGCTTATTATAAAATAAAATGAAAATACTCTTTAAATATAATTAAAAATTTAATTGCATATATGTACGTACAAATATGTGCATTTATTACAACAACTTAAGCCATTTAAAGCATATTCTTTCTTCATAAATATTCAATTAAATTTACCGTTTAGTTTCGATTGTACTTGTTCCTCTTTCATTCCACACTCTTTACTTCTAGCTCCAATGGCAATTTATTCATTCTTTTATTCTCGTTCTGTTCCCTCTTTCGCTACCTGCCTAAGTATTCACTTCCTGAAAAACACTCGGTGCACCGTTCAATGACATAGTTAATTGCATAAACACCCCAGTAATACTCCCTCTCTCTCTCTCTCTCTCTCTCCACACTCTCATGTACACACAGCCCACAATTAAAATGCATTAATTAGAGTCGACTTTTTGCGATACATTTTTCTCAGCTCACATTAAACAAAAATTACCTAATGGAAAATTAGAAGACGAAGAAGAAGAAGCAGAAAAAACGCATATCTATTGCATGCATACAATATCAAATGGATGCAATAAATTAAAGTAAAAACTAGCCAACTTGTTCAATCTGTGTCCCTGACACAAATACCAGAGGCTGTAGCTCAACTATCCAGATTTTCACATGGCATTTAGGCTGCATTTCACGGCAGATGCGTCGCAGAGAAGAGATAACCTGTTGTTGTTCTAGCATGCGATGCTGGCAATAAATTCGTGCGCAGAGAAAGTCAGGAAAAACCTGGTGTAAAGTTCAAAGCCCACAGCTATATGTGATATTTTATTTTCTTTTCATTTGACACTTGAGTTCGAAAATCCATGCAGTCATATTTATGGGCGAAATGTTAATTGTTAACTGCAGTCAAGGCACTGACAACACTTTCACGCATTCAAAATTCAGCCGCAGGCTGGTCGCGCTCGAGCAAGTGTCAATGTACAGGGGAGTTATAACAGCAGCAACAACAACAACAACAAACACATTGCAATTAACAACAATTTGCTGTTATTGCTGTTGTTGGCCCACACTCGAGTCTTAACCAATTTTTAACTATTTTTGCTGAAAATCGTAAGCTACTTTTACTTATCGGTTCATTATAACGGACGTTAAATTTTGCCAGCTAATCGTGCATGAACCCCAAGCGAAAGGTAAGCCCAACGAACAACAACAGCAAACCTAACACACATCAAGACGCACCGGCCGAACCTTTGTGAAAAATACTTTTAATTTTTGGCATATTTCTCACACGGCAAATTTTATATATTTATCCTTGGAAATGAGCAACATCAAATAACTTAGGGCTCAAACTTGTTTGTCTACGGTCTTTCTGCAGAATCTCTTCACGAACAGCAGAAAAAAATAACAAATAAATATGAGAGACCGCAACGAAAGAGCTGCCCACATGGAGCCTCAAACGAAAGACTTAGACAACAAACTTGATAAAGTGTGCGAAAATTGAATACAACTGGCAGATGAATCTTCTGAGTGTATGGAGTTTTGTATTTGTAGCTGAATAGCCATTGAAAATATATACCCAATGTACAGTTTTGTTATTGAACTTACAAAGTTCAAAATTCAATTTCCGTTCGAGCAGCACGAGATCGTGCTACAAGTATGCAAATTACAAAGTGCGTTGATTTGTAATAATAGCAAAAATCAAAAGTAATCAACAATCACGATAATAACAACTCATTCCACAATTTAAATATATATATATATGTATATATTTTTGATTTACCATGCAGTTTTCCCTTGAAGAAAGTTACCAAAAATAAAAATGTAATGAGCCTCATCGAGGTCGCAGCTTGGCCCAAAGTCTAAAGACAGCCTTTAGCTTTGTTTATTGTATATTGAATTAAATATTTCGTGATGTTTATTATTGTGTAATGAGACCTTCAGACCTATATATAAATATATTTGTATCTCTTGAACAGTTTTGGCAAGCCATAACGAATGCAGGCCCTGAATTGCATTTGAGGCAAACATGATTTTATTGGTTTTTTTTTTTTTTTTTTCAACAATGCAAGGCCATCAATTAGCGCCTAATTTTGTCTGCTGCTGAGCCAAAACACAAAACAATATACATACATAACTTAACTGATTTATGCAGTCAACGTTTAGCCGTGCTCTGCAATTTTCCAACTCATTAGCGAACTGCAATTTATATGCACTTGGCTTTGCTCAAAAATATTTCACAGTTTTCTTGTTGTTGGTGTTTCTTGACAGCAATACGAACTGGTCTTAATAGCTAGGTCTATGCAGCCAGTTTGTTAAAGTCAAATTATGTACCAAAACCCACAATAAAGTCCCAATATGGAGATATTACATATACCGACGAATGCTTCTAATTGACTTTGTAATTGAAAAAGAATACTTTAGAAAATTCAACGTATAATTTAAGTTTTAAAATTTTTATAAATATATAATATATGAGTATATTGTCAAGAATATAAATTTATAAACAGAAAAATAGTACTGTTTAAAAGGTAAGCTACGTTCACACAGCCAATTACAGCAACAATGAATAAATGTTGACTTTCCTTTTCAGGCGAAACCTTTGTGCTTTTATATAAATCTTTTCCGATATTAATTAATTACAATTAAGGTATTAAGCTTGGAAGGTGAAACTTGTTAACAACTGGCTTTAAAACAATTATATCACTTACAGATTACGTGATATCTGATAGACATGTCAAGCATTTTATATTATTATTATATTATATTTATATTATATTTTCCTTACTGATTTACAGCATCTCACAAATGAGATTGTTGGGCAGTGACAAAATATCGATAAGACGAATTTATATATAAATATTTTGTCACTGCCTAACAATCGCTCTTTTCTCTGTTCTTTTCGTCGCTAATTATTTTTTTATGTTTCTATCTTTCTTAATCTCCAAATCTCTCTCTCTCTCTCTCTCTCTCTCTCGCTCTGTCTCTCTCTCTCACTCTCTCGCTCTCTCTCTCTCTCGCTCTCTCTCTCTCTCTCTACCACATACACACATACACATTTCTCTCTCTCTCTCTCTCCCTTAATATCTCCCTTATAGTTGGTTAATGAAAATAGTATATAATTTATGGAATTGCCCAAACATCATCAAAAGATGGCCATGGTGAGTTGGCCAGATCTTTGGCAAGATATTGTCTTTTGCTTGATTCGTTAATTAATACCAAACATGTGGGCTGAGCTGAGGTGCACAACGTCTTCACAACAGTTGCTTCAAGTCGTTGCGGGGGTGTTTTGGCATCTAGATGAATTATGATTTATGATTTACGCTAATTTCCTACGTGTTGTCTTAATTGGCATTGCCCAAAGCGGAATTGCATAACAAATTACTTTGACAAACATTTATGACACACACTTAAGAGGTGCAACTGCTGTTAGCTATCACGTAGGTGAAGCACATGATTCATGGCTGTATATATTCAGAGATCTTTACTCTCTTCCATAGTTCATATCAGCCAACATAATTAAAATGGCAGCCATGATTGTCTCAAGCAAAGTTTGCTGCTGAAGTCTTTTATTGGCCACACAGACGATTTTATCATATCATCAGAGAGAGAGGGAGAGAGAGAGAGAGACAGAGGCAGATCAAAGAAGCTGTGGACTTTGATGTAAATCGCTCACAACGTGACACGTTTGATGTGCAACTGACATTAAAACGCAGATGAACAAATTGTAAGAAAAAGAAGAAGATGCTATGTTATAGTGGAAAGAGCACAGAGCTAAGCAATTAAACTGCTAACCCAATTTAAAGAGCCGAAGTTTCGATTAGTGAACGGAGTAGAAACCTTTCACTTACCCCAAAACCGAAACAGAGTTCATACAAATAATGGAATTAGACCAAATCTGTATACGAATTTCTATTAACTCGTATTAATTCAAACGAAAGTCAACTTTTTGGCCTACTTTCGTCGTTAGTTCGTGTCGCTAACTAAGTTAGAGTTTTACCTTTGAATATCTTCATTTGTTATGCCAGTTATTTATTTAATGCTTCACTACACTTGCAATCCACCAAAATTATTTCCGCAACAGTTGAAAGAAAAGTTTCCAATTGTTTCGTTTTTGTTTTTTTTCTTTTCTTTCATCCACTTTGAGGCGCCGCATAATTAACGAAATAATTCAACAGGAAACTCGAAGAAAAAACCAAAATTCTGTCTATGATTAATCTAAAGAAAATGACGTAAAGCCAAATTTCTGTTACCAAGCTCCATTTAAGCGAAAAGGGGAGCAATTATGGAAACATGTTTGACGGATCGATACGTAAATGGGTGGAGATGACGACGATGAGTGGAGCGGCGTTAATTGGTAGCTCAAAGAATGAAATTTGATTGCGGGCCTGGGATCATCAGACTCGAGAGCAGTGAGACTAAAGTGTCTGGCAAAGCTTTTGAGACGCGCCTGGACAACGTCACAATGTTATCTATAATTTTCGTTCGCTTTGGGTCTTGTGTAACTCACCAGCTTCGCTCGCGTTCAATTTGTTGGCTCCCAAAGTCGTTGAACTATCCAGCATGGTCGAAGACGAAGTCGACTCGCTACTTTGTTCTACGCCAACAGTTGTTGCTGCAGCTGCTGTTGTTGTTGTTGTTGTTGATGTGGTAGTTGTAGCTGTTGCTGTTGTTGAATCGACTTCAGTGGTTGTATCCAGTGGTGGCATCAGGGTAGTGGGCATGGCTGCAGCATCATCCTCGCCTGCAGGCGCAGACGCCGCACGCTCAATTTGAATGCCAAGCAACAATAATCCGCAGAGGCTGGACACCAAGAGTTTGCTCCACAAAATTGATGCCGTGCCGCCGCCCGGAGCTCTTTTTCGTCTACACGCTTGCATCGTAGATTTATGTTGGTGTATGTATATTTAATATATTCGGTATAATTTTGCTTTCGATCAGTTTTTTATTGACACCTTTACACTTGTTGTTAATTTGGAAATAATTCAACTAATTGAAAAACAATAAAAATGATAAATTATAATAAATTATTTAAGTATGTATTATCTAACAGCACTTTCTGTTTATGAAATTATGATTTTTGATTTCCTTTTTGCATCTTTTGTTAATATTTTGCTAATGCACGGCTTTGTTTAATGTCGTTAATTTTCTGCACGTTTTGTGTTTGGCATTTGGTCTTTTATTTCGAATTGTGTGATTTTTTCGACTCTGTAACGGTTTTTTCGTTTATGTGGTAAACCGAAATGGTGTCATTTCCTTTGAAAGTTAGGTTAAATCATTTTTGGGGGACTTGCGCTTTTTGTATTTGATTTCTTTCTGTTGCAGCATTTATATTTTTTGGCAAACTTATGATAATGATGTTTTCAAATAGCTTTCAAATGTATATTTGCATTTGCAATGTTGTCCTCTCTCTCTCTCTCTGTGATTGACTTCGTCGGTCGTTAAGTTCGTTGCCTAAGTCTTTTGTTATATTTATATTATAGTAGATCTTTATCGAGTCTTTTCAGCTTTTTGTAGATGTCTGCATTTCCTAGATATTATTACTATGTTTGATACATATATGAATTTTAGCAGTCTTTGATTAATTGCGTCAGTAAATTGTAGTCAAGTTTGTAGTCAAGTTCGTTGCCTAAGTCATTTGTTATACTAACAGATTCAGCTACTTAGTCTGACAGGTTGGGTTTATATACATATATATATGCTTTGTTTCTGTAGATATAAACTAGAAAGAACAGTCACAGTTTATGATTGATTTCGTCGCTTGTTTAACGTCAGTTTCGTTGCCCAAGTCATTTGTTCTTGTAACAATTTTTGGCAACTCTTTTTAACTGGGCAATTATGTCTACAGTTTCTATATATATATATATATGTGTGCATATACATATATAAGAAGCGCATGTCTTGAGTTCTTGCCTTTCTAAGCTCTGTCCTACACGAAAGCTACGCCGACTAAGAAAAATATTCAAGAAAACCCAATGCGCATGCAATTCGCAATAATGCAATAGCAACAGCAACAACAAGCTGCAGTTTAGATCCAAAAAAATTGTATATTTCAACCGGTTCCACGAGCAACTTCAAACACCAACAACAACTGCAACTGCAACTGCAGCAGCCACGGCAACTGGAAGCGGCTTTGTGGCATTATTTGCCGCAACTTTGGCCGACTGCGACTAACTAGAAAACCACAAATGCTATCAATGCTGCTGCTGCTGCTGCTGCTATTACTGTTGCCATTGTGCATTTGACCAAGTTTTTGGCTGCATATTAGATTAAGTTTAATTAGCTAGCGGCAGCTTTAACAATGCATTGCTCGTTATAGTTCACACTGCCGGGCTGATTATGTTTGTATTTAAATTAAATCACATTTCGGCTAATTTTCGAATGATGTCATTGTAAAAGTGGCTGTGCCCGGCTATTTAGTTTGACATTTCACATTTCACTCTCACTCCTTTTATAGCAAAACGCAAACAAAATACACAAGAAAACAACAAAAGAGTTATGCGAGCGAGCGAGACAGCAGAGAAACTTGTTTGTTTTGTTTTATTTTATTTTATTTTACTTCTTTTCATACGGTTTTTGGTATTTTGAATGGAATTTTTTTTTGTTTTTGTTCCAGACTTTTTAGTTGAATGTTTCACTTGATTTCGTTGCTTGTCTGAGCGTCTGGCCAAGATGAAAGCCGTGCTTTACATATAACCAATACACACACAAAAGCAAGCACACACACACACAGACACACGAGCACACACTTAAACGCTTGCACTAACCCGATGCGCCAAGGTATTTCTTTAAAGGTGGCCAAGCGCACGGGCCACGTTTCTATAGAATAGCTAAAACACGTCTGCGTTTGGTTCGTCTAGCAACCGCTCCGGCTGAAGCACTTCCACCAACTGAGCGCGCTTCGGTCTCTGAACTAGGCTCAGAGCAGCTTGGCGATATTTCGTGATTTCAATTCACCACGGCGCCGGCCACGTCGTCGTCGTCGTTGTCGGCAATCAGGAGACAAGCAGCATTGGCCAACTGGTTTGAGTTGCTCTTTCGATTTCGGTGTTGAGTTGAGTTTGTCTGGCAGCAACAGCTGAGCAACAGGTGAGAGAGCGCTGCTTGACATAATCGAAACCGAAGTTGCGCTCTCGCATGCCTCAGGTGTGTCTAGGCGGTGTCTGTCAATGTGTGAGTGTGTGTGAGTGTGTGTGCGAGTGCGAGTGCGTGGTGGATGTGGGTGTGTAGCTGCTGACAAAAAGTCGTTGGGTTTTAAAATTCATTAAAGGAAGGCTGCAACTACAGCCATTTGACAAGGTAAACTCAACGAACTTCTTTGAACCGACCAAACAAACTCTCTGTCTCATGGCGAGGCTCAATGTCTCAATGAGCAGGCCAGCTGACACTTATTACTGCGATTACGCCCACCGCTCTCAGCTGAAAGAGCTCTAAAGGCGGCTTATAGAATTCCGGATAACTCTGCACAAGAGTCGGGATAAACACAGGCAGAGATTCGTCGATTTTATGTTGCCAATGCCAAGCTGCGCCTCAGCCGACAAAAAATACCTGAATATGCAATTTTTGAAATGCCATCGATGCTAACGAAGACGCGCCCAGAAACCGCCAGCACACATCAGTGGCTGCGCACAATTCTGATCAGTCAAAGAAATGTGACTCAATGCGGCATCAAAGCCCAAAGACGTCAAAAGCCATAAGCCCAAAGGCGAACCTTGCCCACAAATTTCATGAAAATGTGCAGCGCTGTCTGTTGGTGTTACAATTGCTGTTGTTGTTTGAGTTGTTCGAGTTGTTTGAGTTGTTTGAGTTGCTGCGGTTGTAATTTGAAATGCAAAAATTCCAAAATGCGCTAATGCTATTGCACAAACTTTGGCCAAGTGTACACCACAATGGCACTGTGCTACAATTTCCATTGTTAGTCACACTGTGGGCTGTCGTTGTTTTTGCTGCGGCTGCTGCTGCTTTTGCTTATCTGGCAGACACTGAGCTGCTGCTGCTGCTGTTGCTGCTGCTGCTGCTGCTGCAAAGAACAACAACAATAAAAGGCAACGTCGCAACTTTAGTTATGCACTCATTTTTTTGTTTTTATATTTGAATGGGGCAACCAAACAGGCAGCCAGCTGAACATGGCTAATGTGAACAACAAAAATAATACAAAATAAAAATAAGAAAAAATAGCTGGGCTAGAAGTTGAAACGATAAGTTTTGGCAGCCCTCTGACTCACGGTACAAAAATGATTTTCAGTGAAAAAGAATTCTTGAATGTCTAGTGGTAAAATGGAAAACTATGTATAATTTAATTTATTTTAAATAAATAAAGTATACATATTTGATTAAGGTTACATGTATACTGCTGAGAGTCTCCGTCTGGGACTTAAAACTGGCCTCCGACAACATTGTTTTTTAAGCAGAGATAAAATATTTTTAGGTCCAGCCCAACCATTATTTTCATAGTTAAAAGTCACTTGATGGATAAACAACAAATGCCAATCTTTAAGATTGCTTGCAGATAAAAAAGTTAATCACTTTATTATTAGACTTGAACTATCTGCAAATGTCACGAATATTTTATAGGAACACGAGCTGACAAGTGTTAACAAAGGCAACAAAGGAAAGGAAAAAATATATATGTATGTATGTATGTATGTATGTATGTATGTATTTAAAACATATATGTTTTAAGCCCATTACATTATTAAAACATTCATAGCCAACTATAAAAAATATATAAATAAAAAAATATAAATATAAATGTTGATTTTCATGATACATAAATAGTTTTCCCTTGACACATTTAATTGGCATACAAATATATTGTAAATTAATTCCCAATTTTCAATGGCGTCAAAAATAGTACCATTTATAAATAAAATGTATACAACTTAAAGTGATTTCCAATTTAACATGCATCAAAGAGTATAACAAAAATATCTCAAAACTTAAAAAGGCCAGGGCACACACACTAGTATATATATCTGTATATACATATATATTGAAATACAAAGTAAATACCTTTAATTGCCTTGCCTACCGTAAGATAAATGAGTAAAATAATTAATCAGAGTTTAATATGCACATTTTTGCATAGAGCATAAATAAAATGCTTGTTGAAACGAATGACTTAGGCAACGAACTGTTTTCTATATGCACACAAAGCTGTTCCACAATAAATTTTAGGTTGGTTGGTCACTCGAAGTCTCACACCTCTATTTTCAGGGCAAGGACAATATCATATGTGGCGGATGATGTTTTCGCATGACATCTTTTGAGTCATTCGGCATTCTCTTACGCTAATTCAAAGAAATGCCGTTTCACAGGCTTGTATGTAGAACGTGGTTAGTGTGTTCCTATGATGTCATCTTTTTGAATATCATTCCGCTCATAAGCATTTCGATCTCGAATATATGACTTATATATGTATTTCGGTTGGGCTTTCAGTTTTTATCAGCGTCTGCGCTTGCTGGCCAACAAGCGCAGCGGCCTTTTTGAACGCATTTTATATATACAGCTAAATGGATGTAGGTATGTATGTATATACATGTATTTATATGTATATTGTCTGCAGCAGCAACCGGTGTCGCTCGGCGTCGCTTTTGTTTGTTTTATATAGAGACGAGTATATGGAGTAGCATGTTTTTATACATATATACAAACATTGTATATCTGTCTGCCTGCTGGCTTGCATTGAAATGCACGCTCTGTCTGACTGTCTGCGTATGTGTGTGTGTTTGTGTGTGTGTTTATATAGGCGGATTACATACGAGTCTGAGCCATGCATTTGTTTTCGACTGCGTTGCTTTACTTTTACTTTCATATGCAACTGGTTGCTGCTGCCAACGACTTGAATGGGGAAGCAACAGCAACGGCAACAACAACAGCAACAACAACAACGGCAACAACAGCAAATGCGAATGTGCTTTGGGTGGCTCGCTTGTGGTCGAGCTGTCTCCACGACACGGACCACAAATGAAATTGTTTATAAAGTGATTGTCAATCATTTTTGGTGGCATGTCGCTTAACCGCCTTGACAACACTACAAGCACACACACACGCACACACATACACACCTAAATTAATAGCAGCTGCTATACATACATTTGAGCACATTCGCTTGGCCATATGCTCAATTAGGTTTTATCAATTTTTATTTTGGTCATATGTATAACATATTTATGTAGCATTTATATGTATAAATGCATGTCGATTGCATTTATATCAGGCCAAGATTATTTTGATTTACTTAGCCAGCAGCCCACAGACAAAGTATTGCCGCAATGAGATCCAAAACATTTGGCTCCATTACAAAATCAATTAGCTAAACGGCTTAAATGGCCAAATAAGGAAACCCAAAACGAATTAAAGCACACACATTTGTTGCTATCTGTAGCTCTTTATAATTGCAAAATAGTTTTCTTTTTATAACATGTGTTTCGGTTTTGGTTTTGGCTTTTGAGTTTGGAGTTACGAATGAAACAAAAACCTCTATCTGATTTGACGCTCAAATTTTCATGTGTAACCGAAATGAAGACATCAGCAATGAAAATATATTTAATATACATATGTATATGCATGTATATATGTACACGCCGTATTGCCCTCTCATCAAAATTCGCTCGCGCTTTTATATAACGTGAAAATATAATTTTGAATTGGCATTCGTCTCATTTCTATGTAGAATGCCAAGAAAATTTTATAACTTTCGCTGGTATCACATTTCGTGATTAACTGATGACAAATCTCACGCATATCGAATCACTGAGCCAAGCTTAAGTCAGAGAGTTAAGCAGAGAAATATATGTATAATATATAGTAAATTCAAATATTATCTAATATCAATTTGGTAGCTGCTGGCAAAATTTATTTCCTAAAACGCAAAGCTTTCTTTAAGTTTAATGATTGAGTTCCTTGAATCATTCATTCATTTCTAAGAGATTTGTCTTGCAGAATACTACTAAATAAATTATAATGTTCCAGTCTCTCATAATATTAGATATCTTATTCATATTTACATACATGTCTCGAATCTTTATCCCTTTATCTTATACTTATACCCTTTTTATCTACACAATAAACCCATTCAAAAGGCGTAAGACCATATAGATAGTATTCTAAGTCTATATGGTATCGAAGTCAATGGGATTCCATCTGCCAAAATATATTAACCTGACCCTGAGACTGTGAAAAATAAAGTAGAGAAGTAACTAATTGTCTGAGAGAGTATTTAATATTTTGCTTGTCATAGTTAGTTGTTCTTAATTCAAATTAAAGACTATTAAAAAACTGGTGTACAGGTGTACAAGTTTGTTCAATGCTAAGCACTGTATGAGCACACACACTTACATACACACAATGTCATTGACTAAGATCCAGCTCGAGTTGTTTTGCGAGTGTAAATGACCCACAAAAACAAAAACACTTTGGAGTGTCGTTTGAATAGTCGTTTGACATTTTGATGCCAGGTGCAAGAGTCGTTGACACATTGGCCAGTCAATCTATTAGCCATGACCATGACTTCAGCGTGATCCACGAGCAAAGCAACTTGCCCCAAAAAAAGTTAATTTTATGCGATGCGAAGCAAAATTTTAATAATTATAAATGAAATACAATAATGTTAATCTTTTGTTGCCTTTGGGCCGAACAAGATTTGTGAAAGTTTTCACACAGGAAGCTGGCCAAGATTGATGTAATATCTTTCAGTTTTTACTGCTCTCCCATCAGAAATGCAAATGTTTGTCCAAGGCTGTTGGCGACAACGTTGTCGACTGCATACTAAATACGACTCGAAACAATGTGATTCAGATTTGTCATATTCGATACGAGTAACGTTAAACAACACAAAAAAAAAGGTAAAAATCGTATATATATAAAAAGTCGTCAATCGACCTTCACGAGCTGCGAAAGTTGGTTCAGAGACGTCACGAAAATGTTCGCGCAAGTCGAGAAAAAAACCGAAATTGAATTTAATGGGCAACTGTTTAGTATTTAGCAAGCGTAGAGAATTATGTCAGGTATTTCTGAGTAGAGCTCGCTGACTCATTCTAGGGTTATTTTGGTCCCTGGGCAGCCGGAGCTGACGTTCAATTAGACTCTCAATGTGAACTTAAAATAGCCATATTGTTAAATCCAACTATACATGTATTCAATTCATAATTAATAACCCCCATGAATTAAACATAATAGAAACATGGGTTTTTTTCAGTATTTTTTTTCTGTATTTTTGGCCCACTTTAAAGCCATAAAATTCACATGCCGTTGATAGATAAGATATATAAAGCTTCAAAAAGCATTTAGAATAGCCATCATGATCGTGAATCTCCATTTCAAGAGCAATTCAAGATATTTTTTAAATATCAAACTAAAAACCGAAACAAGACACAAGACGCAGACCACGAAAACAAAGCGCCCAAGGAAATTAATGAAACTAAAAACAACTTTTTGATGACCTTCACGAAATGTAGTCAAACAAAGTATTTTGGTCAAAGAGCATACAAAATGAAGCAATTCACGTTAGAGTTGGGGCTATTGCTCCATATGGTAAATATTTAATATACAAAAATAAATATCTAATATGTAAATACAATTTTCTATTTGAGAAACAGAAATTTAAGTTTTTGCTTATGAAACGTCTCCATTGCTCCTTTTTCTGGTTGTCACTAGCCACGCCCACGTTCTGGCATACCCTTACATTTTTATTTATTTTTCAACTCTTGACTCATTTATAAGTATTATCCGCTTACAGCTTAAACAACTTAGTCACTCTGCAAACATTTTTCATTTGGCAACTTCAAGTTCAATTCCAAGCCTGGCCAACAGTTAAATTATTAATGAAATACTTGGGATCCGCTTAGCGCATAATTGCTAGCTCAAATGCGAACATATTATATCGCAGACAATGGCAGCCGACCCCCTGCAAATGCAGGCCCGTGCCTAGACATGCAGCACACTGTGCGTATGCGCGATTTGGCATGCACGAGTGAGCGAGACTGTGGGCCTTACTAAATTGATGTGTCTAGATATAAATAAATGTAAAACTCGTTAATTATTGCTTATTGTTGCACTTTATGGCGCGTTGCGAAATTGTTGATAAGCGCCTAATTTGATTATCGGCGCTTGAGTGGGGCAGGCCATAGCAACTGATTAAATGCGACTATGTATTTGGGTCAAAACTGGGCAACATCTTAATTGGCCTAATTCGAGGCAGAACTTGTCATCGCGTTGGCTATGCAAACGAGGCTGGCTGCCAAAATTTATAGGCGAATCGCCACATGAATAATGTAAATGTCTATATTGGAAAAATGTTGTTAATTGCGCACCCTATTGATATTTAGCACAAATTCCATAACTGGTCGCTCGACACAGTCATAATTCGATTTGCGTTTGCCGTCTAATCGAAATGCCGGCTCAGAGGCTTAAGCCGGAGCAAAAGTTGTTGACGTTGCCGTTGCTGTTGCCGTGGCTGGAGGCGCGTGTGCACTTCAGAAGTAGCTTGACACCAGTTCGACAAGAATGCCAAACAGTCGGCTGAAGGTAGACCACTTTCAAGCACAGCACGCAACCAGATTGAGCCAAGAACTAGCCGGCTAAAAATGGCTGAAAATGTCCAACATTGCGGCGTATATAGTGGACGGACTCAAGTGCCTTGTAAGACATAACAAATGTGGACTGAATTAGATAAGTAACAGGGCAAAGGGGACTTTAACAATTGTGAGTATTACTATTAGACTATTTATTATCATTATCTTCATTATTATCCTTAACATTATCTGATGCCTCTATACTGTTTTTATTAGCATTAGTATTACATTATCATTATAATTGATATTTTTATTATCCGTAGTGAAATATAAAACATATAAAAATTTTAATTTATTTTTCTTTATTTATGGTCATTAGTACGTTCATTATTATTTATCAATATAGCTTTAATAATTATTATTCTAATTAATTTGTATTATCATTTTTATTGTGTGTAATGTCAGATATACTCATCATCATATCATTATCATCATCTTTATTACTTTTCAGTTATACAAAAGTAAAAGATATATGATAGATATTTTTTGGACAGAGTATCTCAGCATGACTTTCCCATTTGTTATTTGAATTTTTGTTATTAATAAATAAATAGTTTTTGTTTAGCATGTTGAATGAAACCCGTTGCCCGTGAGTTGCGAGTTTGCCATGGAAATTCTAAATGACTTGCGCGTTGCCATTTGCTAAATTTTAATGTACATTTCACTAAAAACGACATCAAGCTGTGGCACAACTTTGTTGTCACAGTCTTGCCGAAGACCTTGACTTTCTTTTCAAAATTTTCTTCGGCAACTACAATTAGCCAGACGTCATAAAAAACGAAAAATAAACAAAACGTTGACATTACATTGCGCGTTTTGAAAGCAAAAATGTTGATCTGTGTATAGAAAGCCAAAGCTAAAGCCAAAGACATAGGTAAAGCTAAAGTTAAAGCTAAAGCTAAAGTTAAAGAGTTTTGTTACTGTTTACTCATGCATGCGGACTACGGAGTTTCTACTACAGCTCGTGACATTTCACTTTTGCTTTACGCTGATGACGATGATGATAATAACAACAATAATAATGATCCACACTAATATGCATATGAATTCTCAAGCGTTTCATATGCAAATCTTCTACGCAAGTCAAAGTTCTGAATCTATCATCAAATAGCAAACAAATAAACGGAATTTACCAATTTCTATTTCGGACAAAACACAATAGATGTGCATAAATTATGAGTTGAATTTTACTTTGTGTTGTTTCAGCTCAGCTACAATGGAAAATTAATTAAAGATTTGCCAACTTGCCAAACACTGTTAAGCGCCTTCCGCCTGGGCATAGTCTAGGAGTGTGTTTGTGTGTGACTGTGAGTGAGAAAGCCTGGGTGTGTATGAGTTAAAGTGTGTGTGTGTGTTCGTGTGCTTGTGCTTGTGTGGCAAGAGTTACGCAGTTGCAACGAATCCCGACGCAGGTACCCATACATAACTAGTTTTCACTAAAACACACATTTCAAGGCAATAAACTATGTTTAAGCAAAGCCGGCAGACGGGTCCAAGGCGCGTGTCTGCACACAAAATGCATTTCAATTTCATTACGTTGGCTCGTTTGCTGCAGTTTTGTTTTGTTTGACGAGCTGCTCGTCTGGTGAATGTTGACCGTGCATGTCATTCGCATTTAGTTTTGAAAGTTGTTTGCTTCCTGCTGCTACTCGCATATCTTTGCCATTTTTAATCAAAACAACAAATAAACACTTCGCACAGCATACACACTTTTAATGACAAATGCAATTTGAATGCTCATCTGCGTACGCTGCAGTGAAAACTCATCAGTCCGATGGCGACAATGCATCTCATTTAACTGGCATTCAATTAACTAGATTCTCTTTAGCTGGCAAAGGGCCGAGCTTGAGCACATAAATCAATAAATGTCATAAGTCCCTTGTGATGAAAGAACTTAAGTACCGCTGTTCAAGCCTTTGGCACACTTTGATTCATGCACATGCAACGAGCTAAGTGGTGGCAAAAGTGAGGAAAGTGAAATTTTAAATTTAGCCAAGGTTAACGAGATTTGTTCAGCCTACTTTGACGTCAATTTATACATGCAAATAAGCCATTTAAAGGATTTTAATTTATCTAATTTAACGGCCATTATTTATTTAACGGCTATTGGTGAAAATGTTAATAACATCTAGCTTGGCTTTTCTACTAAACTTAAAGCAATGGTAACTAACTAGCTTCGGATAATGTAGTTAGTTTCTTTCTAGTTAAGCTTTCTTACATACAAATATTTAAATTTAGATATGGAAATAAGCGTTAGAAAGCAGCCCTTAGTCATCCCTTTACAATATAATTTGGTTTACTGCGAAATATGCAAACTAAATATATAAATTAAAAATAATTTTAATTGCTGGAAGCAAAAACTACGTGCTCAAAGTCAATATCGAATAATTAAATTTTTTATGTATAAAATTATTGAAAATCTTATTTAAATTATGTTAACCCAAAAGTTATCGATAGCCCTTAACATATTACTCATTTGGGCAATGTTAACAGCAATTTAGCAGTTTTTCCCAAGACCGGCAACTCTATCAAATTTATTTAATAGCTGTTCTCAAGCAATTTCGCGCTCAGCCAAAAGAAAGTAAAGTCAAACCAAAATCCACCAAACTAATGGCCAGCACATCGCGAAATGCCTCACAAAGACGCAATACATCGCGTTCCCAGCAATCAATAATAGTGAGCCAGGCGGAAATACAACATGTCGAAATAGATCAGCAAGTGCGAGCCATTCTGAATTTTATTCTATGTCATTCGGCCAACAAGGTTCCAATCAAACACAATGATTTAGTTCCTCTGACGGATGGAAAAGCGGAGGTTAATAAGAGACTCCCGTTGGTCACTCAACTGCTGGAAAAACGCTACGGCATTAAGCTAGTCCAGCTCGAAGGGAACCCCAAAAGATACATTTGTATAGCCGAAGCACCACCAACGTCCACCTTCGAACTAACCGCTGCACAGCGTCCGCAATTCACATTGCTCTACATTATACTTACCTACGTCTTTTTACGCGGCTGTCACTTAGAGGAAAGCAAGCTGTTTACCATGCTGGATACGTTGGGGGTTAATGTGCACGAGGAGCATGAATACTTTGGTTCCGACATATCGAAACTGGTCGAAGAGACATTTGTGAAGCAAGAGTATCTGAAACGAGAGCGTTCACAGTTGAATCCTTTCGATGATCCCAAGATTACCTACAGTTGGGGCCAACGCGCGAAACGCGAATTTACCTATCAGCAAATTGTTCAATTTGCATCCAAATTATTTAACCAGGACGTCAGCTTTTTTCAGAAGCAGCTTATGATGGCCGAAGCCATGGATAATCCTGAAGGCTTGCCAGCTCCAACTCCTGCTGCAGATAGCACGAATACAAGCTACACTGACTGTAATAGTTTCATGGAGAGTCAGCAGTAGATAATAGAATTTGCATATCTTGAATAATGTACATTTGTTTGTTATATTTATATTAACAATTTATATTTATTTTAGGCTTTACTATAAATAAATGCAGATGGTATCTAATACTTGGCATAGTCCGTATCCATTATCAGCTTGCCATCCTTATCTTTGAGTCGGACACGGCCATTGGAGTAACGGGTTTCCTGGCTGCCATCCGGATAGACAAGTTTAACTGTACCATCAGGATATTCGCGACGTTTGTTCAATTTGGTGTGTATTTCCTTTTGCCCATTGGGAAGGTTTAAAATCTTATCACCATTTCGCAGTTGAATCAAATGCGTGCCATCCGCATAGCGCCACTCTTCCAATTTTTCCGTATCGCTTGGATCGACAATTTTAATGGAATTGTTCGGGAAATGAATCTCGATGACGCCATTCTTGTGACGATGCTCGGTTTGTCCATTCGGAAACTCAAGTATCTCCAGACCGTCCAGATAGGTAGTGTGCCATGTATTAGTCTCTGCATAATAATACTTGACTGTACCAGCACGTATATCTGTTTCCTTAATGTCCTTGTTAAAATACAACATGCGCACGGTCATACCATCGGCACTGATCTTCTTAAGATTGCCATTTGGATACCAAATGTCTTTACTCCCATCCTCATTCACAATCTCACGCTTGAACTCAATATTTTCGCTGTGATTGTTGTTGCTGTTATTGCTGTGATTACTGCTTCCGTTATGATTGTTGTTATTGCTTCCTTTATTTTTGTTCTTGTTGCGTTCGGCAAAAAGTGTGTCAGCTTCTGCTGTGGCTGACTTTGTCGGTTTTGCCGGCTTTGGCATGGGTACATCGTCCATTTCGAAGGAGCTACTTGAGGCGTAACTTTCACTGAGCGGCTCTGATTTTTTTCGGCTTCGATTTAGGCGACGCTGTTGGCTCGTTGACTTATCCTGCAATATGCTCGTGATCGATTTGCTTTGCCGTTTGCCATTCTCATCCGTATGCTTGGCCGCGGGTGCTGCTGCCTCCTGCTAAATGAGAATCTTGAGCTGGAAACATTTTTAGATATTCGTCAAATACTTACCAGCTTTGGGGCCAAGCGTGCAATATTGCGATTAATTTCTTGTAGCATTTTGCTGCTGTTATCTCGTGTTAGCTTCACTATCTCTTGCTCCAGGCGCTTGTTTTCACGCCCGAGCAACTCAATTTCGTCCCTGTAGTTGCGTTGCTCCTTTTCAGCGGCACGCAGCTGAGCACGAAGTCGCGCCTGCGCTGACACGTGAGTCTGTTCCTTTTGTTTCAGCTGCAGCTGAAGGGCCTCCACCTCTTGCTTAAGCGCCGCCAGTTCCCTTTTCTCCTTGCTATTCATATTGCTCTTTTGAAGACGCATCTGTTGCTCGAATTTGCGACGTTCCTCTTCAATCTTCATGCGCTCATCGTGCAAATAGATTTCCGCTTGGATTTTCTCATCATGCACACGCTCCATTGCCTCCAAATGTTCTTGGGCACACTTGGCCTTGTCAAGCTCGTGTTGCTGCTTAAGCCGCAGAAGCTGAGCATTTTGTTCCTTAAATGTGGTGATTTCCGCTTCCAGTTCCTCGAGTCTCGTGCGCACCAAATTCGCCTTCGCTTGTAGCTCTTGCGTTAGTTGCTCATCGCCAGCAGCGCTCTGTGTCGGCTGTGCCTTTTTCTGTTCCAGAGCCTGAAACAACGCTGCTTTGAACTCTTCAAAGAGCTCCACATTTGTGCCATCCTGCACCGTTGTCTCATCTGAATATTGATGTGTATCATTGGAATCGGAGAATCGCACATGTACCTGAGCCTTGCCGGCGTTAATTTTTATCGGCGTTCGGGTCAAGGTGCAGTCCTGCTCATCCGGATTCTCATCGTCATCACTTTCACTAATCACCTCCGACACTTGTGGTTGCAGGCGCATTTCACGCATCTGCGATATAACAATCTGATCGCTATCGTCAGCATCCGCCTGACGGTGCTTCTCCTTGCGTGCCATGAAAGTGCGTATGCAGCTGGAGTTCATATCCACGTTACCCTCACGGGCCTTCTGCTCCAACAGCTCAAATATGCTGATATTGTCGTCACTTTCCACACGTATCTGGGCCGAGCGTCGATGCAGTACAGGTGGCCTAATCTGCTGTGAGTCTAGCACCTTGGCCCAACACATGTTTGCCAGTGCATTCGAGCTTGCCTCGGAAGAGTGTTCATCGTCGGCCGTTTGCCCTTTGGCGTCGTTTAGCTCGACAAAGCGAACCTTCGGCGACACACTGGAATTCGTGTTACTGGTTGAAGAATAGGAAGACTTCAGATCCGGCGTGGAACTGCACACAGTCTTGGAGTTTATCAGGGGTTGCTGAAAGCGATGCTCCTTTTTCGACAGTGGAGGTGCCGGTGGTGGTGGGGGCATTGCTATTGCTTTCTGTACAACAGTTGGCACTTTGTGCGTCTTCAAAATGCTACGCTTTTGTTGTTTTATCAAGCCGGGCTTGCGGTACTGTGGATGAGCATTCGCGTATTTGTAGCGGGGTAAATTATTAAGACGCAATTGGTCAGGATCAACTTTGAAGCGCTGTTTTAGCCCATCACCACGCCGTAAAAATGGCTTTTTGGGCTTTGCTGGTCGAGGACTAGTAGAAATATCTGTAAGTTGGAAGCACTGCTCAGCCTTTTCTCCTTCATCCTCATCCTGTTTCGCGTGGCGCACCATTTGTATGCTTGATGACTGGTTCTGTTGCTCCTGTTCCTGATCCTGCTCCTGTTCCAGATTGTCATTGTTTTCAATTTTATTTACATCTCCAGTGTTTTCATCCACAATGTGATCGGGCAACAGCCCAAGCATTTGGTACATATTGCGGTGCTCCAGTCCGAGCATTAGGCGCTGCTTGTTTTGACGCTCTTCTAAAAGGCGTTTTTGTTCCTCTTGCCAACGGTTCAAAGCTGCCAAGCGTGTTGATATATCCAGTTGTGTCAAAGGTGAAGCATTAATCTCATCAGATCCTTCCATATTTTGGCTTTGCGTATCATTCAAATTAATTATTTTATTGTTTATATACGCGGAATCCGACGCTAAGCATTCAAACAAGAAGTCCAAAGTTCTAGTGCTGGAAAGTGTCGCACAGAAATGAAACCAGGGCAGGTTTATTTTTAAATTAAAAAATACTCCATTAGATAACTTATGAAACTACTCGCAAATAAAGTTTTCCTATATACATTTATTTACATTATTAATACATATCATTTACTTATTATTTACATTAAATGTAAGAGCTCCTACATATCAGGAACGTGGCCGTCATTTTCATTTACTTCTGGCTCATCAAAATCTCGTACTTGTACATCGGCATCCTCTCCATACTGCAAAATACTATCGATCTGTAGCAGAAGATCGCTCAAACTCTCCTCATCATCGACGTTCAATGGAAAAAAGCGCACCAAACTAGAATATAAACAATAATTTCATGTTTAATATTGTTTAATTAATGTACAGACTGCACAGTGGCAACGCCAACATGGCAAACTTGCCAGCCCTGGTTTAGAGAAAATAATTTTTCGTCGCGTCGTAAAATGTGCGCATAAACTCAACCTTAAAATTACAAATAGAGCATAATTGTACATAATATAACAAAATAAATCACAAATACTTCAATTAAGTGCACCGTCCACCAGTTTTGGCGGGTCAAACGAAGTGTGTCGAAAATACCCCAAAAAATCCCAAGCAACAGCAACAACAAGAGCAAAATAGACTCTTTTTCAACACAACATTTTTTGGGCACACACCAAAAACGGCAAAGAAGCTAAAAAACCCTGAATTTACGACCGCACCGTAATTCAAAACATGGATGACAATACGGACATGGACTTATCCAAAGTGTATGTTGTACGCTCCGCCAAGGGCGTAGACATGCTATGTGTGGATGATTACCTTTATCATTTCGATCGCATTGGAAAAAACAACACATACCGTTGGCTATGCAATCGACGAAAGGATAAAGTGACGCCATGCCGGTCGCGCATCTCCACCATCGTGCCCGATCCCACGGACAAGAGCAAGCATGTTGTGGTCGATGTTATTCAGGCACATGTCCATCCACGTTGCAGCAATCATGAGATCACTAAAGTCTCACAACGCAAGCGACTGTCCAACATGAAAATGAACGATGCTTACAGCACCACGCAGCCAAAGCGCGCCCGACTATATGAGCGCGCTGCTGCCGGTCTCAATCCACCCGAATGGATATCCACAAACAGAGAAAATGAAGCACTTCAATATTCGTTTCACCTAGACTTTGAGGTGTGTCAATTTCTCTTGATATGTGATAATTGATATAATTCTTAATGAGTTAAAATTGAAAGATTCTTCTTATATGGTCATCTCGTATATATATATAGCTGCGACCTATTAATCCCACCAATCCAAAATTTCAGTTCAGGAATCATTTAGAAAGAAATACAGTTTAAGATTCGCTAAGCCGCACATTTAAGTAATTGGGGTCAACATTTATTTGCTCGTTAAAGATAATTCATTTAATATGATTCTATATCTCATGTGAAGGGTAATCTTATGCAGTTCGAGCAGTAGTATTCATCACTATTATAAAATATTGAACAATATTAATTAGCGATTCCCATTCACTTTGCAGGATAAAGATCGGGTTTATATGCTGCGCCGTCGCGATGGTCGTGTTATGGTGTGCATTGATGGGCAGCTGTACTATCTGGCTGGCAAGTCGTACAAGGGGGATCTATATCGATGGACATGTGTGAGGAAGCGTGATATTGAGTGCACGGCAAAGATCTGCACGGAGGCAACCTTGGCTGGGGCCCATCGATTGCATTTAATGGAATCGGATGCGCATATACATCCACACTATTCCGCTGACAAGCTAATGCAAATGTTTACCAGGCACCAGATTCTCTTGGTAGACGATGACCAAACAGTGGAAGTACTGCAGGAGTGCCCCAATCTGGAGTACTTTGATCCCGAGCTAAGCTCAGGCTCGCAGAAGGGCGATGATGTTGGCTCCATAATCATTGAAGATTGCGAGGAAAACTATGAGGTTTATATGAATCTCGACAATACTGAGTCTGCGCTGACCGAAACACAACAGCAGGAGCACCCAGTTCTCGATAACGAAATGAAATGGCCAAATGCTGCTGATATCATTGATAATTATGTGAGTCCGCCGGATTATGATCCGCTGACCGAAACCGATCTGACCAAGTTTACATTTCTGCCATCGGCGAAAGGACGTAAGGTGCTCTGCTTGGACCGCCATCTGTTTCATTTCGACTCGCAGAGCCGGGCCAACGGTCACATGTTCTTCACGTGCATCATGCGGCGTGACAAGCAGCAAAGCTGTCATGTTCGCGTCACATTGGATCCCGTTGAGAACGGACCAGAGGTGCTGCGCATTAATGGAGAGCATACTCATAAACCCGATCTGCAGGAGATACAGCGGCGCATTAATCAACAGAGGAAACAGGAAAAGGTGCTAGAGTTGGCGAAGCAATGTGGCAATGTCAAATCGGAGCAAGGCGACACGACGAGACATTCACTTGGCACTGAAGAGACTGACTTTGAAAGTCAAGATGATCTGGACACGGAGGAGGAGGCAGACACAGTTGCTGAGCAGCAGGTGGGCAACTATGAGAAACTGAAAGACCAGTCGTTAACCTCCAACACTAGCGACGGCCACCACAATGTGGTCATGAAAAAGGTAATTGGCATTGATGGCATTAAGTTGGAGCCCGAGCATGCGCAGGCAGCCTCAATGATTGTGCAGTATATGAACGATGGCGCCGACAATATCAGCGCCAAGATCGAGATCCTACCCAATGATTTAGAGGCCATTGAACAGCCCACCACATCGACACCTAAGCCACAACTGACTAATCTACGGAAGCGTCGTACTAACGCAGTGCCCAACAACAACAACAACAACAACAATGCTCAACTAACTTCGCTTCCCCCGGACATGGATCTGACCAAAATCTGTACTTTGCGGTCGGCCAAGGGCAGCGAGATGCTTTGCGTGGATGGCTACATCTATCATGCCAAGAATCGTGGCCTCATCTCACGCAATTATTGGGTGTGCATCAAGAGCCGTGATCCGGAGATCAATTGCAAGAGCCGCATATCGACGGCCACACAAAAGGATGGCTCTATCCGGGTTTTGCGGGTCTACAACAGTCACAGTCATCCGTTCAGCGAGGACGACATCAAACGACGACTCTTCAATGAAATCAACAAAAAGAACAATAAAAAACTCAAGTTCCGGCCACTGCATTTCATCGGAAAGTCTCTGGAGCAAATCAAACAGGAGTATGGAGATCTGTCTGTCGAGCAGCTCAATGTATCCAATCTCACAGATGGTATTGTGGTCCACAAGAAGCCACGCAACAGTGCAGGCAGCAGCCAAAATAGCACCACCAGCACATCCAGAACAAAAACAAAGGGAGAGGAGACACTAAACTCAGCTGCTCTCAAACACAAGCTGCAGGCACAGCAGCAGGTCCAGGAGCAACACGACTTCGAGGAGGATGTGGTTATCGAGGACGAAGAGGATATCGAACAGGCACCCATAACCGATGATGGGCAGTTCATGACTGTCGAAGAAGACAACACGGATGCCATAATCGAAGTTGTCGAGGAGGTGCCCGAAATGGAAAACTATGGCAACATTGAGTAAGTACATCTCAATCGAAATCCAAATTATAGTATATAAAGATTTCATTAACATCGAATTGCTAGCGGAATACGAAATTAGCCAGGTTCCATATTAGATTACAGGGCAATTGAAAGTCGACCAAGTTTAGCTTTTACAACTTGGTATGTTGAACAGCTATTGAAAAGTAAAAACGATTTTGGCATTCGGTTTCAGTCGGTTTTAAGAGCTGCGCGTGCGCACTCCACTATTACGGAGCAGATTCCAGTTGGGTAAATGCCGAGATATTAAAAATAAAATATATCGCATAGATGACAGCAACAATATTTACATTCGCTTTTGTCTAATGGGAACCTGCTTGTTGGCCTGGCCACAATTGAAACCGGTTATACAAGATACCTCAACTCATTTGCAATCTCATTTTTTCTGCATAATTTGATACAGACCCATTTATACGATGAAGTTATACGCCGTATCGGATGGACCGCCCTCGCTGGCCGTGCGCATGGCCCTCAAGGCGCTGGGCATCCAATATCAGCTAATTAATGTGGACTTCTGTGCACTGGAGCACCGTACGCCGGACTATGCTAAGGTGGGTAGTCTCTAAGCTAACAGTTGATTGACAACTTAATGCAATTTCATACTACCTACAGATGAATCCACAAAAGGAGATACCTGTACTGGACGACGATGGCTTCCATCTGTCCGAGAGCATTGCAATTATGCAATATTTGTGCGATAAGTACTCGCCTCTATCGACGCTGTATCCGGAGGATCCGACTGAACGGGCGCTGGTCAATCAGCGTCTATGCTTCAATATGAACTTTTACTATGCGCCCATTTCGGCCCATAGCATGGCGCCCATATTCTTCGACTACGAGCGCACGCCCATGTCCCTGAAGAAGGTCGAGAATGCGCTCGATGTATTCGAAACGTATCTGCAGCGTTTGGGCACCAAATATGCGGCCTCTGAAAATGTAACCATTGCAGACTTTGCGCTGGTTTCATCGACTCTATGCCTGGAAGCCATTGACTTTGATTTCTCGCCTTATCCGCTGGTACGGAAGTGGTACAGCACTTTTAAGGAAGAGTATCCAGAGCTCTGGCAGATTGCCGACAGTGGCATGCAGGAGATTATTGCATTTGAGCATAATCCTCCAGATCTTTCACACATGGAACATCCATTTCACCCAACCCGCAAGCCAAAGGCATAATCAATTGTAAAAATTTAGAAAATTAGAAATTAAGAGTACTTGCTGCATTTAAGCGAGCCTTGATAGTGGAAATATGCACACACTATTTTTTTTAAATAAATTCAGTTCTATAAAATATTGTACCTAGTATTCAAAACGTTGTCTATGGAGGGAGTGTTTGTGGGAGATTACGAGAAATAGACATCAACTACGGGCTTAAAATTATGGGAGGAAGGTAATCTGAAGACTGCTCAGCGTAGAGAGTCTATATATAAGTAACTTACCTAAAATCTTCGATGAGCGAGCCAATTGCTTCAGTTAGCTTTCGATATTTCTCGCCGAACCCCGTACCTATTGTCAGTTCACCCATTAGGTTATGCGTGTCTGGCTCCAAATATAGTTCCAGCTGCTTGCGCGCCTCGGCGCTCAAGAGATCCACTTTGGTTAGCACGTTCACGTGCGGCTGCTCCATGTTGGCCATGACACTGAGCGCTGCCATCGTTCCTGATATGAACTTAGCGCCATCGACCATGAACTGCGAGTCCAGGCAGAAAACAACACAAGTGCGGAAATTCCAGGATTCTAATAGCTCCACCAACTGCTTGCCCATCTTCAGATGTGTGAATAGTTCGATTTGGCCAGGCATATCGAACAGTATGTAGTCATCATCGGGCTCTCCCAGCATTAGTTCATCTTCTCCGCCGCACAGTTGTTCTTTTAGCCAGTCCTGATTCTCAATGAGAAACTCAAGGCAAAATATAAGACCACCATTGGGGCCATAGTGTAACTCCTCGTCCTCCATGGCATCGTCCAGATGTATCAGCTCTCGTATGTCTGTTAATGGTGTGTAATTAAAGTGCTCCGCTGCTGGATCCAAGTTGACAACCTGAATGTTGCGCTTGCCATCCATAGCATGCTGTTGCATGTAGCTACAATAGGTAGACTGTGCTATGCGATTATATGTCTGTGAAATTCTTTAACTAATAGATAGGTAAATAATGTAAGTTTACCTTGCCACTACCAGCAGGTCCTACCACAATTTGTGCGAAACGCATATTAAATTTTACTTAGAGTTTTAAAATAAAGACTAGCGAATTCTGAAATCCGTGCGCGTGCGGTCGCTTAGTGCTGCAAAGCGTCGGAAAAAAGCTGGAAATGCGTTTTGGGGTTTTGGCCAATTCTTTGGATGATGTGGCAACGCCACTGCGCGCTTTCCACAGATTTAAATTATTGAGTGACCATATTGAGATGTACAGCTGTGGAGTTAATTAAGTCTGCGGCTTAACAGCCAGAAATCGTAAACACAATAGTGACTCGTTAATTTACATATGATCAGATTGATTTATCAGAACGTTCAATCACGTCGCCACCCTGCGTAGGCTAAGCCTAATTGCTGATAAACATCTAAATTGTGCTACGAAACGTACACACGCGCCGCACACACGGACAGCGAAACGAGCGACAGCTGTCCATCTAACGATTGTCCCTGCCCCGAACATGACAATCATAATGATTTTTTAAATGCCACGCTTGCAGCAAAACTATAACGCTTAAAAATAATATTCTCTTTATACAACTTTTTTTTTTTTTTATAAAATTTGATGTAGTCTGTGCCCTGCGTGTGCATGTCGGAAGACCGGAAATAATTTTCTAGATGCCCAAGCTAAACACCCACCCCAGAAACAGCTCTAACTGCACTTGTGTACTTTTAATGATATCGTCGACAGGGGCTGCAGGCCAGGTGTTCAATATATTGTGCTGATAACTGTGTTATTTAGTTGTAAATTGCGCCTTTTGGCCTCGTCGCTTGAACTGCAAATGGCTAAAAATTATAGGATCAATAAGCGCGTGCTATTTCATCATTCCAATGCTGAATTTCTTATTTAAATATAATAAAAAATTATACATACATATATTTTAATTTTAATACTTGTATTTATTTAATTGTAAACTAAACGACTAAGTATAACATTTAGATGTAAGCAAACTTATAGCAATTAAATACCACAGAACAAGTTGATTTTTATAATATTTTAAAATTGGAATATATGTATATATATAATGTATACTCATATATATGCATGTATGTGTGTGTGTGTCTGTTAAAGGTGCCACTACCATATCGTTGACTAGCATGCCTTGACTAGCTTGAGCGTTGTTGCATTGCAAGAGTTAAAGAATATTCTCTTAAAGACCACCTCCGTTGCCAAAGATGTTCGCTGCAGGACCAGCAGCAGCACCTGGACCGACAGCAGCATCTCTTATATTTCCACTGACATTGAAGTCCTCGCTGCTCTGATTGCTATTGTGATTTTGACTAGAATTCGAATTGTTGCTGCTGCAGCCGCTGCTCTTTGCCGCATTGTTGCTGTAGAGCGGCTGGTTTGGATGCTGATTGGTCGCTCCATTGGGATCGTCCGGTGTCCAAGTGCGTGCGTAGAGCTTGCTGCCCGGATAGCGATCGCCCTTGCGGTACCAGGATAACGAATGCGACATTCCTCCGGCTGCAACAAAGACAATTTGTTCAATATCATATTATTGCAACATATTCAATCGAAAGTCAAGCGCCGCCCCATCAATTAAAAGTTGTTGCCAAAAACTGAGCAAATGCCATTAGCGAACACATTACAAGCCCATCAGCAGCCGCAGAGCAAACAAGCAAAGGGTTCATAGTGTCTCTCTGCATGCTTGCTGTTGTTGCAGCTGTCCACCATTTGCCTTGAGCAAACAAAACCCAAGCACAAATCCTGCCCTTCGCCAGCCTGCCTGCGTTTTCTATTACGTCCAATCAGCTTGCACGCGGGAAAACATCCCATGCCCCTGCCCCTGCCCGAACACCTTCCCTCTCCCTCTCCCACTCCATTTCCCATTCCAATCAGAGCGGAAGCTTCGTAATTTGTAGAGCACACTGTATTTCGAGTGTCTGATGCGGGTGTTGCTCAAATATGCGACATGCCACCCCATCGTTCGTTTACCACAGGCAGCTTCAGCTTCACACCCGCTCCGTCATCTTGCAAGTTGGTGTGAACATATGCCAGGCGTGTGTCCGGCATCCCCGCTGCCCCGCTACCCGGCGACCCCATAGCCACCATAAGAGTCGTGAAAACCAATCCACTTGCTGTCATTTAAGTGGGCGTTGTGTTTGGGGTTTTGCGATTTTTATCTATATATGTATCTCTGCTTTTTTGTTTTGTTTCATTCTTCGTTTTTCTTTGGGGCTTTGTCTGTTTTTGCTCAACATTTTTAATGCCCGTTAAGCATGAAAATGCTTTTGCCATACCACCATATCACAGTCCATCTTTCTCCACTGCCTCCATTTTGGTGCTTTTGGCCTCGTTTGCCCTTTAACAGGACCCACGAATCGTTCTGCACACACATCTGCTCGACTATAACGAATTTCTCACGATATGATTATGTCGATTGCGCATTGTTGTTGTAACAACTTTGTTGTTCCCAAAGTCGAATGTGCGTGTGTATTTGTGTGTGTGTGTGTCTGTGCACCTGGACTTGGAGTTGAAGTTGGAAATTGGGCAAGGTGTGTGTCATGTTGGATTTTATCAAAACAATTTTTATGTCGCATGCACTTTGAACAATATATCTTATCTGGGATTTAGTTCAGTTCGGATTTAGAACAATGCTACACGAAAGATATTCATTTCTGTCATTCTGATAATAATATTATATGTTTTATATTATTTATTTATATAATAAATCTCTTATTCTTTATATTAATCTTAGTACAAAATTAAACATGACAACTTTTTAAGATTTTTAGATATGTAGATATGATTTTTATATATCAACTGCTTCTTTTAAGACATATCAAAATTAAAACAGAAGTTAAAAATGCAAAATATTTTGAAAAAGCTTAGCTGTAAGGCTTAATAATTAGACACACTTAAATTGCTAGTCTATAATATTCTATACGCCTCGTTAGATTGTAACTAGCAGTGCTAAAAGCTTACAGATTTTTCTTAGTACTCGTAGGGAGCTGTTATTTTCAACCTGTGAAACATTGCCCATAAAGCAATACGATTTCTTTGAATACGTCTGCTGAAGGCATTGCAAATCAGGTATTGGGATATAAATCTTACGTCATAGCTCTATTACTGATGACTTGAAAATAAGTTAAAATATCACAATATCTTCCAGAATAATATTCCCAGAAGGGGAATTAGATAAAAACTATATTTCTGACGGTTTAAAAATGGAAAATAAATCAATTTTAGGACAGGAAATAAGGTGTGCCAGACAGAAATATAAATGATTTTTGATAAACAAACACTATAAATAAAATGCCTCTTATTATTAATAAAATTCCTCTTCTATCTCAAATATACTCTCCCAATAAAAACCCATACGAATAACTTGTCTAATAGCTCGCTTTACAAATATTCCCAAAGGTTGTAAATTTTGAGCTAAATATAAATAAAGTAGATATTCCACTCATTATCATAGATATAAATTTTAATGCCAACTAGTTTTCGGCAAAGTATTAATTTCTGTTGTGACACTCAAGAGTTGAAAAAAACTTTAAAAAAAAAAACTCTTAAAAATGCTGCCAATCATTCAAAATCAGACTGCGAAATACCCCTATGCAGTGGTTTTTGAGAACACCCTTTGGCTCACCAAGTGCTCGGGCATTAGTTATGCAGATGCTGCAGCTCGATCGGATCAATTGAGAATTTTGGAATTGCGGGTCTGCAGTGTCATACATATTGAATAGAAAAATTATTAACCAAAAAACCGTAACTAAAGCAACTTTTATGAGCTGGCACACGGAAAACCCTAATCCATTGTGCCGGGCCCCCACCCTCCCCGATGAGGCTAATGAAAACCTTTCGTGTGCGTACCAAGCGGAACCCTGGCACCAAGTTCACAGCATTCCGTGATCGATGTGCAATGAGCAACAGCCACAGCCACAGCCACAGCCAGAGCAGTTTCCTTGACTGGCAGTCACGCAAAGCACGCAAAACGATGCCGAAGCGAGAAGTGTGAAAATTCAAATTAGTTACACTTAGGCAGACGCAGCAGCTACCCCATCAATGAAACTCCACGATGCCAGGGAGGGGTAGAGTGATCAACCCTCATTTAGACAATCGCACGAGATGCCTCAACCACATCAATGCACTTTAAATATGCAACGAACAACAGCTGAATTATGTCATTAGATGTAGAACTAGCAAACGCCTGACCATTGCCCACCGCCCATCGTTCACCGCCCACAGCTGATTGATTTGATTGATGGGTGATTGACAACTTACTGCGATCCTTGAGTATGATCTTCTTGGGCGGCTCCTTTTGATAGTTGCGCTGCAAGCTCAGTCCCGCCTCATTGCCGTTCTTGTCCTTCTTGACCATTTCGCTCAAAAATGTTATATAACTGATAGCCAGCTTAAGTGTATCCACCTGGAATTAGATTTGATTAAACTAAATAACATTGATGGGATCATAGAGGCAATCTTCATAGAAATATGATGTGATGATGATATGACATTTCGCTTATAAATTTATACATCAGCATCATCATGGTGTGGCAAAAGTTTTGGTCTCCAAAATTCATAATTAACTAAGAACTACTTGGTTATTAAGGGTCTTAGGGTTTGCTGACTTAAATAGTATAACATGCAAAGTTTTACTATGTAATTGTTTATTAATTATTATTGAAATATATTTAAGTTAAAACAATAGATCAATAGATCTCACCTTGCTGAGTCGCTTCTCGTAGGGCAGTGTCGGTATATGGGTGCGCAGACCTTCGAAGGCTTCATTGATGCTCTGCATGCGACGTCTCTCCCGGAGATTCGCCGCCTGCCGCTGCTGGGCCATCTGGGAGGCGCACTTCAAGCGACGTGGCTTGTGACTGCGTCGCCTAAACATTGAGTAGCTGCAATTGGTTATTATCGGAGCAGCTGGGCCTTGGGCAACCTGATTGAAATTAACACTCACGTCTTCTCGTTGTTCTCCTGGTCGCTGTTGAAGCCACTGCTGTACGCATCGTCATCATCATCGCTCTCCGAGCTGTGCTCATCTCCGAAAAAGTATTCGGAACTGGAGTTTGAGGCATTCGTCGCCTGCGATCCCTCGAAGAAGTGGCGAGCCATCGTCGCTTCCAAGTCGAAATTGTCCATTGAGAACATTTTGCCAATTGCAGTTACCCTTTCTGTTCAACGTCTCAAGCTAATGTTGGCTAATTGTCCAACAAGTGCATAACGGTAAACCGCACGCCTCCGCTTATAAATCTAATTGAGAACACGTGCACAGCACGTGCCGATCGAAAGAACTGCGACGCGTGTCGTTAGCCTTTGACTCTTGATTTTCGAACACTCTGAAAAGGACACAAAACATCATTTGTTTACATTATGTTCGATGCAATCTTATCGGTAGCTCTTGCTGTGGCCAGGTTGTTAAATTGATAATAAACATGTTCAACATGCAGACACTCTCGATTAGATAAGCCCGTCTGATAGCGACTGTGACTGCTCACAGCTTGATTAGGCATTAAATGCCCTATGCTAATGCGAATGGGATCAATAATAGTAGTAATTACAACAAAGAATTAAATACTATGTATACATATGTATATATTTATATTCAAAGGGCTTCAATCTTCTTTTCATTTCAATACTCTCAATTTATTAAGAACTGCAAGTAAGTTTCCCTTATGCTTCAGGATGTGCCATATACACATTGGAATTGAGTAAATACATATAGAGGCATAGTAAAGCCAATAACTTTATGTGTATATGGCTGATCTCGTCAACGAGTTGAGTCGATCCAGATCATTTTCATCGGTTCATCTTCTGTCTGTCTAAATTACAGTCTTCTATCTCTTCGCTCATAAATATACATTAATCCTGTAAACTACAAATGTGAAAAGCCTAAAAATTCAAAATATATATTCATCCAGTTCCACATTTATATTTATTCAATATATATTACCATTTCGATATAAACAAAATATCAGCGGGTTTTTAAAGGCAAATCTCAATGAAACTGATGATATCAGTCATAACGTGTATATTTAAGTTATGCTATGAATAATATAAATATACTGACGCTTGGATGAATCTAATAACAAATTGAAAGGTGTCTTCATAGATTAATGTCTCATTGGCGTTATCAAATCGGTACAGATTTATTTCAAATATATTATGTATATTATGCATATTATTATTCATATTCTCGTATCTCAGCTCTAGTTTCTAAGATTCTTTCAGTAGGATTTGCATTTGTTTTTCTATTTTTCATCTAGCTGACCAAAAGGTATCACAAAATTTCGAAATATATATCAACAATGAGTATATCCTATTAATGCCGACGGTAAGAGACCGAGATCGCTGAGGTCTCATTTTACCTTATTCGAGTGTTTTCATCCAATTTGCAATATCCGTAATGCTTAGCAAGTACACAAATATATCGTTATTCTTTATGATTGCACATTCATACACTATCTATGACCGATTTCTATGCACTCGATTCAATTTGCGGAAATGAAAACGTTTAAGCCGTTAGCTGAAACATTGAAGCGCGATTTGGTAGCGAACGCGCCGCCAGCTACAAAGCGAATGAAATTGTTTTGCCGGTGCCAGGCGCAGGATACGTTGCCTGCTGATAAGCGAGAGGCGGCGAGGGGTAGTAGTTCCTGTCGTGCCAACGTTGTCTGTCTCGCAGCATATCAATGGCGGCAGTGCCACATCGAACAGTGTTGCCAGATGGGCGGAGTTTGTGTCTGGCTGCCAGCCAATCAGAGCCAAGCAGCCAAAAACTTTCGCCTCTGCAGGGTTGCATTTTGGGGTAGAATAAGCTTATTAAGTTCGTGCAGTGAGTATTGTTTTTGTTTCTCGTTTTTTATTCATGCTCAGCCAAGGGATGAGATATTTGCTGTTGATTTTCATATGGCAGACACATTAAATTGGTCTTTGATTACGAACGCGTTTATCTGTTTAAGCGGAATTATTGCCCGAGTGGCATACAAGTGGCATGGTATGTATCCCTATGCAGTGGGCTCAACTGGGCAAGTGTCTGCGACGAGAAGTGGGCGTGGGCTAGGGAACAGACAGCTGCACTATTTGCGTGTGCAGCTCCAACAATATGAGCAATGATTTTATCATTTATTTTTCTTTTATTTCATTTTTTACTCAAGCAGCATCTAAGTCTAATTAATGGACTGCGGCAGCCAAGCAAACACAGCTCTGACACTAGCCAAATACATATATAGAGAATAGAAAAAACAATACAACGCAAAAATTTGTCAACCAGCATAATTTTTAAGCATTAGCACAGCGTGTCGCAAAGACTAATGCAAATATTTGCATTGTCTAGGATTCGGCTGCGAGACAGCTCCATTAGAACGGCCTTTGCTGCTGCAGTATCTGCTGCATATTTTACGGCGCCCAGACAGGGGTGTCAAAATACCACGAAACATTATAGAATGTATGTATTTAGATATACATATATATATATATATACAGTCCTCGATAAAGCCACTCACCCCTCAAGGCAGTTGATTGTGTTGCGCCTTTGCTGCTTTGCGTTTGTTTGTTGTCCTTTTTTCCGTGTCTGTTGCCCCTACCCCTGGCCCTGCCCCTGTCACTGCTCCTGCTCCTGACTGCCTCATCCTCATCGGCGACGACGACCTCACTAAGGCTACCCATGATAAACAATTTGTTTTTTCGACTCGCCATCTCATCATTTGTTGTTGTTGTTGTTGTTGTTGTTTCTGTTGCTTTTGTTTTCATTGCCAACGCTGCTCCTTTTTGTGCAGCTGTATAAACAAATTAGTTCTCAATTTTATCAAGTTGTTGCCTAGTGGCGAATCAGTTAACAGCCGACTGCCAAGATTGAGGTGAGTTGGGCCAAAATCAAGATCGAGTCTCATTTTATATAACATTTTTATTTACAAGATAATAAAATCTCCATAGAAAATTATTTAAACTTGTAATACCAATTACTATATATGTATGTATATAGACTTCAAGGCCTTTGTCGCTTATTATAGAAATATAATATTTATAGAAATAGGGAAATAGGGAAAAAATGAAAAGAGAAAATAACATTAGAATCAATAAATGCAATAATGCAATGGAACTATTATAAATGAAAATGAAAATAAGAAGTATACATACATATGTAATACATAAATTATATTAAAATCATCCAATCATATCATGCGCTATATCGATTGAAATTCAAATAAGAATATGGATATCACAGTAATAATTCGATAAAACAAATTCTAAAATTCCATATTGCTCTGCACCTGTCACAATTTTCCATGTGTAAGTGTACTATATAATTAAAGCTCCCACAAATAAGATAATGCCACACTCTGTTAAATTCATATCAAGCTGCGAATTATGTACACGTCATATAGCACAATCAAGCGTAACCGCCTCTACGGGCAACTTACCCTATCTAATGCGAATGCAACGGGACCCTATATCATTATTGCAGGCAATTGCCGGCGAAGGGGGTTGCCTCAAACTGAATGGATTGTCATTTGGCCCAACAATTTTCAATTCGTGTTTTTTTTTTTATTATTCGAATTCTAATTAAAAACCTAAATGTATTGTTTAGGTAAGGCAAGCGATCTGGGTCAGGGCAGTACGAAGTGCTTATCACACTGAAGCTGAGGCTGATGCCGCTTCCACTGCCGCTGTCCTGCTCTGATCCCTGTTCTACGTCCATATATGGTGTTGACACTGAGCATTAAGGATGGCAAAATCCTCTTGAGTGCATGCCTGGCCGAGTACTCGCAACGAAAACGCAATGTGTGTGTGTGGATTGTGTATAAATTTTAATCTCATTTGAAAAGTTTTTTCTCGTTTTTAAGTGGGGAAGTAAAGTGCAAAAATTGAAATCAACAATGGGCTTTAAGAAGGGTTCAGATAGAAGGATATATTCTATTTAACAGTAGGTACCTTTTAATGGCGGCACCACGATAGCTAAGGGTAGTTGCTGATTTAAATCTTATTATAAATATATATTAAACATTTGTATTTCCTTTAACTCTTTGGTTTTTGTTGTTTAATATATAAAATAAAATAAACGCAACGCTTGTAACATAAAATGCAAAGCTCAAACAATTAAACTGTAAAAATATAGATACTGTTAACTTAGCATAATATTTAACATTAAATAATAGCATAGCCAGCTATTCAAATGTTAGCCACCTCAGTCGCTCGCCTATATATTTATGAAATTCATTCGCTCTCGATGTGGCGTCGGTGGTGTAATGGTTAGCATAGTTGCCTTCCAAGCAGTTGACCCGGGTTCGATTCCCGGCCGACGCACAGATAGGCTTTTTGCAACAAGAATTTTTTTTATTATTCGGAATTTTTTATTTGCTTTTTATTTACAATTTGAACATTACTTGCTCACTAAATTCATGTATTGGCTTAATACGCTCATCGAAACGCTTACCATTATACTCAAATTCACTGTAGGGTACTGTGTTGAGCACTTTAAACCCAACAGCTTTTCCAATTTTTTGGGTAAATAGTGATGTCCAGAGGGCAGTAACCGCTTTAGGTCGTTTATCTTGCAATTCTGGTGCCACATCCTCCAAGCCTTGCCCCTGACTCAATTCACGCGCCAACTGAATGGTGATTTCAGCAAGAGCGCGACCAAGTCCTTGCCTGCCAAACTCAGGCAAGGTAGCCAAAAACATTAACTCACATACACAATCCATGTTGTATTCGGCACACACGTCGATCTTAGCGTCCATCGTAATCATATAGTTCATTAGAGCCTTCGCCTGAGGACTCTTCGCCTGCTCATTGTAAAACTTTACAAAGAAATTATCCTCTCCAGGGGGTGGAGCAAACTATAATTTAAATACATGCGACCCTTTTTATTGTTTATAAATAAATAATATTTTGCTGCGTTTACTTGCCTGCAACTTATTAAAGGAAACGGCAACAATGCGACCGCTTTCTACATGTTTTATAATTAACGAAACGCCATCCTGTGCTGTAATTCGACAAAGCTCCCGCAACTCTTGGCGCGCTTGAATGTTTTCGGGTAAATTGATTTCACAACCATTGCAAACTGATTCGTTGATGAAGAACGAATCATTCAGCACCTAATATTAAAACAAAAATATAATATTTAAATATGATCTTAGAATCTGGTTATTAGCATTTTATTATAGGAATTGTTAATTATTATATGAATGTGAATAAAATAAAATGCAGAAAACTGCAAAAAGTGTACAATGCGTCGGCCGGGAATCGAACCCGGGTCAACTGCTTGGAAGGCAACTATGCTAACCATTACACCACCGACGCCATGTCCTCACGTTTGCTCTAAATTGATTTTCTGAAGCTTTTACAGTGCAAAATTCTAACCGAAAAAATTGCAAATATTTTTCAATTTCTATTGCTATTTTACAAAGCTAATTATTGCCGGTGATAACCAAATTCGCATTTAGTCTTATTTTGATTCATGTATATGTATGTACATATATATTTGTGCATACTTACATTTAGAGCTTCCTCCAAATCAGCTTTAGCCAAACTGCGTAGCTCATACTTTCCTATTGAATTAGAATGATAGAAAATGTATTAAAAAATTCTGTAAAATACTTGATTAATATATAGTTAAGTAAGTTAAGTTAATATATAGTTAAGTAGCAAAAATCGAATTTCCCCCACCATTGTGCAATGTTGACCAAAGTCTTCCGTTCTGTGCTCGCATTTTCACCGCTTATCTTTCTTTAGAATCGACTGTTGCCATCAAGTGTTCGATTGTAACTAAGCTATAAAGAAATTTTGATAGCTCTATCTGAAACCCGAAACCTGTTATACGACACTTCCACAGCAGTATGGGCTTATCATTTTAGCCCTATGTTAAGAAGAAGCTGAGCTCAGATGCAAATATTATCGGCCGTTTGCTGAAATTTAACTAAAAAGTCGCGTTGGTTTCGCCATTATTCCGAACATAATTTAATAAAATGTAAAATATAAGGATTATATAGGCAAATATTTTTTAGAAACAAGAACAAATTTTATTTTTTTTTTTTGATAATGTCTAGGATATATACCATTAAACGGAAAGATAAAAAGAATGAAATACATTTCTTCAAAGCATCCGGGACAAACTTTTTATTTTTATTTTTTTTTATAAAAAAATTTATTATAAGCAATTTGTAATCTAAATTTTATATATGTAATTAATACAAAATTTTATTTATTTCAAGCTCAACTTTAACCCCATATCAAATCGTTAAATCTCGATCAGCTGATTCAGTCAGTGCTGTTAACTCATATTTCAATTAGAACAGCTGCAGCAATTAGAACATTTTACAGCACTGTACAACGGCGCATAAAAATCATAACAAAGAGTTACGCTGTTTTCATTTCAGCTGCTGTATTGCACAAATTGGCGAATTTACAAACGTAACCTCTGGCCACGCTGTTTTCTGGTTCTATTTTGGTGTTGTGTCAAAGAACTCGCAGGCGCGACGCCATGGCAACGCCGTGTTAAATAAAGCAATCAGTCTTTTATATTACGGACATTATATATCACAAAATGTTTCTATTGGACAGAATTTTGCCGTTTATATTCAGTTATATACGACCATTTATCAAATGGTTTCTGCATGTGTTCACTCGTCTCTCCGAGCTCCAGCGCATATGCTATGGTGCAAGAGCTGGTGCGCCAAGATGCCACCTAATTGAGCGCTCCCTCCAACAATCGAAGCAGCCGGAAATAAAGACAATGTTAAGAGAACTGGACGAGGCAGGCCCATATGTAACGGACAGAGAGTTGCTATATTTTGGTGAGCAAAGAGTAGATTGCATTCTCACTTCATAGATGCTAACAATCCCTTTTCCCGAACAGCTACACGTGCAGTCAGTGTTGTCGGTCGCGTAAAACACATAAAAAGCAATGTACATCCCGACTTTGGTAGGCTTTTCGGTAATTGTGTGACCACGATTTGGGGCTATAAACGCTTAATGCATCAAGTAGAACAGCTGCGTTCCGAGGCGTACGACTCCGAGAATCTGGAGCATGAACAGAAGCTGCTGGAGCTCTGGAAACTTCTGATGCCCGAAACGCCGCTAGCAAGTCGCATCTCCAAACAATGGCAAGAAATTGGCTTTCAGGGCGATGATCCAAAAACGGACTTCCGCGGCATGGGCATGTTGGGCCTCGAGAATCTTTTATATTTTGCGCGCGCCTACAATGATGCCGCCAAGCACGTCCTGCTCCACTCAATGCATCCCACCTTGGGCTACACCTATGCCATTGTCGGCATAAACCTTACTGCCTTGGCCGTCAATCTTCTGCGTTCTGGTGCGGCCAAGACTCACTTCTACAATCAGGTGGCGCAGCATAAACAAAACTTTAGCACGCTCGAGGACTTCCATAAACTATATTGCTATTTGTTCTTCGAGTTCGATCGGTTTTGGATGGACAGCTCACCGCGCAATATTATGGACTTTCGAGAAGTTTATCAGGCCTTCGAGATAACGAAACTGGAGGCGCTCCACAATGAGAACACTATCTTTAAAACGAACCTGGTCGTCGAGTCCGTCTAACTGCTCACATTGTTGTACTTAAACTAATTTCATAGATAATATTTATGTATAAATGCAGCTTTTTATGCGTTTATTTGAGAGCTATATTATATGTACTTTTAATATATATGTATAAATATGTGTATGCAAGTATGTAAATCATTAGCCGCAACTAATTTTAATTAAATGGAATGTCATGCATAATACTTAGAAATGATGATCGAGATTCGAGATTGCACAATAGGGAACACAAAATTCTATAAAAATACATATTTCAATATCACGCAAAAGCAAAAATATTAAATTAAACAAAAACAACTAACACAGAAATCATAAATCGTTCATACTGATGAAATCCTTTTGAGTATCCTATCAATTTGAAGATATACCTAGTATATATAAATATATATATATATGAAATGAACAAGTCGAATCGAATTGGTGCGTCCAAAAGAGCCTTCGCCCTGGTTGCAAGCTAGTTGAATATCATAGTATTATAATTAGCATGGTGCGTTCGTTTCAAGCATTCGCTCTAGCGATAAAACTTGACCTCAGCCTCAACGCAATCTTTGAGCAGCTCGTCCAGCTCTTCGCTGGCAAAATCCTGGATAGAGAAGTAATTATTCAACTCATCGACACAGGAACGCTCCAGGCTGCGTAAGTGCTCCAGCGCAGCTGGCTTACGATTGGCATGCAAGCTGTGCAACAGCGTCTGCTCCGTGTCGGCCTGCACCTGAGTCAGTGGTGAAATACGTGGCTTGGGCGCAAACACAAACGGCTTGAACACGGACTCGGCGGCATTTGGCGTGCCGGTGAACCAGTGACACGAAATGGAACTAGCAGTTAGCACCGATACGTTGGCCGCCCGTGAACCAGCACCGCTCGCCAAGCGCAATGTCTCGAACATATCCTGCTGCGTGTAGGTGCCATCGCCAGCGGGCTTCAGGCCACACCAATCTGCTTCCGGTGCCTGCGCCTCCGCATCGTGAGCAGCCGCAAAGCTAGCACTAGTATCCAGGCCGTCACTTGACTTATCGATAGTTGTGGTTACGGTTAGCCCACCACTAGGCACACGTAGCCAACTGGCCTGCAGCTTTTCGGCGGCCCACACTTTGCCAGCACTGCTCAAAATCCAGGCAGCCGTAGGATCACAAACTATGATGTTCATCTTGGCGTTGTCGTTGCTGTACTTGGCTACCAACGCTCCAATACGCTCAACGGCTGTTTCCGCATCTTTAGCCTCGGCTAGTGTCACCCTGCAGCATGTATGAGAATTTTATAAAATAGATACACAGATATAAGCGACAGATATACATATGTACATATATATCATACATATGGACTTATACATATATACATATTTTTTACCTACCGCACTATATCCGTGCTTAGTAGACTGTCACTGTCTTTCGCCTCCTGCTCCCCATCAGTCCAGCTGAGGCTTATGGCCACACCTCTTTCGTTGGCCCCAAAGTCACCGCCCCAAAGGAAGGGCTTCGGCTTTTGCAATATAACACGTAAAGCATCGCTCACCGGCTCTAAAGTAGCACCACCGTCAGTCTAACATATGTGGCAAGTGGCAAAGCATTGAAGATGAGTCACTTAAGCTTTTTTCGGCTGTTTATTAGCTTACCTTCCCCTCCAGTACGTCGCTGACATCATAGTAACAGATTTCAGATGCCACGCCTACCGCTGCAGCGTCCTCACCATTGCGACCGAAAATTAGGGAGCCAGACTTAGTATTGGCTGGCAGCACAATAAAACAGTCAGCATTTGAGGACATTTTTTATTTTTTAAATAAATTATATGCTCAGACACAGACAAATTTGCAAAATTGATTTTTCGCAACAGCTGTTGCCGTTACAGTCTGTTGACGCCAATTGACATAACAGAATTCTGTTAATAAAAGTTGGTTGGATGAAGTTGGCTGCGTGTGAATTCAGAGCTCTGCCAACCTTTTTTAAATCGATTGCTTGAATTAATCGATTATTTTCTTGTTCTTACAATATTACCATTGCTGAACACAGTCGCAGTGGTCTAAAAAGTTGTAAAAGTAGAAAATCAACTAAAATCATATAAATTTAAATAATCCGCTCTTACTTCGGGAAGCCGCAAAGTGTTATAAATGCAGTTTTGATCCGAAAAAGTGTCGCAGAGGCTGAAAACGTCGTCGAAGAATTGCATTTGTATACAGCAGTCTGTGTGCAGGTGTTGTCTCATTCGGGCGTATCTTCGAGTTGGATTGTGGTGCGAGCGAAACAACAACAAACAAGTTACAAGGTAAATACTCGTGCATATTGTTGTTGCTACTGCTGTTGGTGGATGTTCAGCGCCTTTTTTGTGTGTTGATTATTTTACTTGCGTGCGTTGTAACTCGTGGGCGGCCAAACCATCGCTGTCCGGCTTGTGCGGCTATTAAAAAAAACTTAATAAATTGTCGCTATCTTCCAATTTAAAGAAATAAATGTGAAGAAAAAGAAATGAAGTGAAATTACAATTGGAACGCAAAGTGACAAAAAAGTGCCTGGAAAAGAAAATCAATATTCATATTGTGCAGCGCGCTTCCAATAAGAAATTACAGTGAGTTTATGCAAATAGCAAATGCGAATCAAAAGAATTTCAACTTTAAGACTCGCAATCGGTGTCGGTGGGCCTCTGCCGCTGCCGCTCCCTAAGCAGATATTTCTTCTCGGTTAAGTGTACGTGCGCGCGTATGTGTGAATGTGTGTGTGCGTGTGCCGCTTCGCGTTGCTTGACCACTTTGACCGCGCGCATTTTCATGTTGTTTTTGGTCTGAAACTAGTTTTCGTTGTTTTTTTGTTGTTGCTGCTAATGTTTTTGTTGTTATTGTTGGCTTTGAGTTGGGTTAAATTTTCACCCTGCCAGTGAATGTGATGACGTTTTAAGGTGCCCACGTCGAGTTGATTTAAATGTAATCGCAGAAAATCAATAATTTCAAGCTTTGAGTATACACATTTTTGTGGAAAACTGGTTGAAATTGAAGTGTGTGGCATGCTTTAAGTGTGAAAGCGGAACACAAACCACCCTCACTCGCTCTCGCTGTCTGCTCCAACTCCAATTCCGCATCTAGCGCAGCCCAAACCAAAACCATCCCAGCCCCTTTCAAAGCATCTGGCTTCAAGTGATGAAAATATTTATATACATTTATGTATGTATATATACAAAATACATATAAAGTGCCGTTACATTCCTCCCCCAATGTGCCCCCTTATGCGGCATTTGGTTTATATGTATGTATGCTTATATACATCTAATCTTTGTGTGTATCTGTTTGCTTGTAGGCGTTCTCGTCGAAAGTGCATTGCTCTGCCGCTACCCCTGCTCCAACGTCGTATTGTAAACATTACAAAAGCTGCGTGCGGAGCGGCCTCATTTCATTCGTGTGTGTGCATGTGTATATATATGTGTGTATTTAGTTCTTTTATTTACACTTACACTGTTAATGTTGCTCTCGCAAGCAGTTGGCAACACGTGCATCGCAGCCACTGCGTTTTCGGCAGTTGGCAACACGTTGACCCAATAACGGTACAATAAGACACCCGCATACATAAGCAAAAACGCACATAAATACATATATATATATATGTACATATGTATATACATACATAAAAACGTGAATGAAAGCCAGCATGGCATTCGACGGTCTTCGTTATTATGATTATGTTGGTTCGTTGCTGAAGCAACCATAAAATCTCTGCAGATGCGACCCACATATGCATGTGCATCAATTTCTTCTTTTTTTGTGCTAATTAAGCAAAATCACTGTGTTGAAAAATCAATAATCGTCTAATGCAACTGTTTATTGAAGTTTATGGCTGTATTGAAGATCAACGTTTAAAAAATTACTTAGTTTTATTTTTAACGTTGGCATTGTTTACATTAAGAAAAAAGCAACATTTTATTTTGTGGCCACCGACAGGTTCAATGAACCAGCCAATCGGTGGAATGCCCATCCGTTCGAATGCCTGTCCGCATGTGTGTGTATGTAAGTGCTCGTGTGCGTGTATTTTTGTGATCGCTGCACGTAACCAAAATTTGTTGGTATTTTTATTGGGTTCGATTATTGTGCTCATTGGGATGTGATGTGGATATGTTTATCACCATAATTTGTGTGCCCCCAAATCAAAATCAAATCGCAAAAACAATCGCTGTTCGAAGTGCGTTGGCGGCCGCAAAAAAAAAATAATACCATATATATATACATACAAATATACCTTGACATTGAGAACTCTATACATGCATGTATGTGTGTGTGTGGCGTGTGTATTGTGTGAACCTACTTTTCTATATGTGTGTGTAAATTGTGCACACATACTGTCTCACTCTAGCGCACAGAATATTCATGTTAAATATTATTTAATAAATAAACCGGCCCGGCCCGGCCTGCCTCTGATTGTTGTTATTGTTATTGTTTACGAATGCGCCATTGACCTTGCGAACAGCACCTGCAATGCAATTGGCCAAATGCAAATATCGATAACACATGCCAGCGATATATCGATTCAAGGACTTTGTTTATGTGTCAACAGCCTAATTTTAACGGTTGAACAATGTTTATTATACATTTTATATGTATGTATATACATATTTAGTAATTTGTATTTTTCTCGTTTTAGCTAAGAGGCGGCTTGAGGTTAGTTGACTAGTCAATTAACCACAATTAATAATTTTCTGGTGAGCATCTGAAATAATGATATATTAAGAAATATAATAGACTTCGCATAAACATTTTTGGAATTTTTTTTCAGAGAGCTTTTATTATCTATATTTCATTTCGGAAGTAATATTTTAAGTTTTATTATCCAATAGGAGCTTTGTTAGATATTTTTTGTTTTTGTAAATCTAGCTACAAGAAATTAATTAATAGATAAGATTAACTTATCGATTGGCATTCAATTTACCCATTGCATTTTTTGATTATCTATATTGTAACAGTATTTGTTTATTTTTGCAGCGAGTGTTTGTAAACAGACGCAATTCCTTCATCACTAAATACAAAACTGGAGTTGTTAGACTCCAGCAGCAACGACGACACCATTCACTCCACCAACTTGAATAGAAAATTAATCAAAATTAAGAAGTTTAAGCTGGACGATATGAAAGAAATGGTGGGCGGATGCTGCGTTTGTTCGGACGAGCGGGGGTGGCCGGAGAACCCGCTCGTCTACTGTGACGGCCAAAACTGCACCGTTGCTGTGCATCAGGCATGTTATGGCATCGTTACCGTACCCACCGGTCCCTGGTATTGTCGTAAATGCGAATCCCAGGAGCGCACTTCGCGCGTGCGCTGCGAGATTTGCCCCTCGCGAGATGGAGCCCTCAAGAAGACTGACACCAGCGGCTGGGCGCATGTCGTCTGCGCCCTCTACATACCCGAGATTCGATTTGGCAATGTGACCACAATGGAACCCATTATATTGACCCTTATACCGCAGGAGCGCTACTCTAAAAGTGAGTCATGTTTAGCCATACCCGCTGCATTCTCTTACCAATTGTATTTTGTTTTTATGATCAACAGCCTGCTACATATGCCTGGAGATCGGAAAACCGAACCGTGCCAATGTCGGGGCCTGCATGCAGTGCAACAAGGCCAACTGCAAGCAACAGTTCCATGTGACCTGTGCCCAAAGCTTGGGCCTGCTCTGTGAGGAGGCTGGCAACTACCTAGATAATGTCAAATACTGCGGCTATTGCCAGCATCATTACAGCAAATTGGTGAGTCTATGCTCGAGTCCTCATTTTTATACGCTCATGCCTGTTCCTATTCGTCTCGCAGAAAAAGGGCGGAAACGTCAAAACTATACCACCCTACAAACCCGTACAACATGACACCTCCTCCGATTCGTGCTCGTCGCCTGAGAAGGAAATCGATTCGACCATGAACTCGGCATCCACATCTGCAACAAGCATTAAGATAACAAGCAGTAGCTTAGCCGCTAGCTCATCGAGCTTGCCGAGCGGCGGAAACACCGTTTCATCCTCATCGAAGCAGCGCAAATCGAATGCCTCTGGTAAATCTTCGGTATCATCAGGCAGCAGCTCCGGAACAGCAACGGGGCTGCCAAACTCCACAAGCTCATCGAGCTCAGCTGTGGTTACGAACACCTCCTCTGCTGGCAGCTTTCTGGCCGGCAACAGCAGTAGCAGCACAATCTCTACTAGCAATAACAGTACCATGAGCAACTCCTTGACGAGTTCTATTAGTGGCAGCGTTGCAGCCCCGATCCCAGGCAGTGGAAGTGCCATGGGCAGCAGTAGCAATACCAATGTGACTGGAGCCGGCAGCAGCAGCAGCTCCAGCAATGCAATAGGGCAAAGCAATTCAACCACTAAGTCATCGGCTACCAGCTCCAGCAGCAGCTATAAGGATAAGCATAGTAAAAGTTTGGGCAAGCAATCCGGCTCTGGTTCCAGCAAGGACAAGGATAAGGATAAGGATGGCGGTAGTAATTCATCAAACAATAGCTTTTCCCACTCATCAACCTCTTCTTCGTCTTCATCCTCCTCGTCGTCACGCGACAAATCGTCAAAGTCATCGAAAAACAAAGAAAGCTCCAAAGAAGCTGCCATCGTTGCTGCCAGCAGCAGCAGCAGCAATGCAACAAGCAGCAGCAACATGCCCAGTGCCAGCAACATTACAGCCAACAACAGCTCCACTTCAACAGCTCATGTATCGAGTAGTGGCAATGCTGGCAGCAGTCTAGCTGCTGCCTCGATCAATGAACATAGTAATCATGCCCAGAATCTTAGTACGTCGGCTCTCAGCAGCTCAACGGGCAGCGCCTCGGGCAAAATGCAATTGGCGGGCAACTTGGGCGGCGGTTTCGGCGCCGAGCTGCATGCCACAAGCAGTAGCAACAGTAGTGCCGCCGTGAAGGATGCGTCGTCATCCTTTGCCGGTAGCAGCAATACAAGTAACTTGGATAGTTTGTCGGGCGCTGGTACGTCCACAAACAGCACTCTCAACCCGCTTGGCCTCGGCTCCAACAGCACTAATCCAGGCAGTGGCAGCAGCAGCAACAGTAAGGTAGCTGCATCAGTTGCAAATGCCACATCCACAACAACATCAAGCCACAACCTGGCACCCTCAGCCAGCAGCTCCACAGTTTCCAAAAAGCGTAAGGTGGACGCTGCTAAAGCAGTTACCAGCATCAACCTGGAAGATCACAATAGGTATACAAACTAATTAGAGAGTAAATCTTTGTAGAGCATTCTTTATACTAATATTCTTCCTTTGCTACAGCTCATTTCGGGATATTATTAAGGATGTGCACGTGACTCTGACGCCACTAACGGACTTCGAGAAGGAAATCGAGAAAAGCTCCAAGCGGGTGAGTGTATTTTCTAGTTTTGTTTATCTCTCGGTCAGTGCGCGTAGGGCCCTATAAATAGTTCGGTAGAGCGCATCTCTTGAGTGTTTTTCGTAGCGCTCTCTTAAGAGTTCTCTGCTCTCTTGATACAGTCGCTCGTCTGGCTACAAAGTTGCCTTTGAATAATAGTCTTCTAATCTCGTACACTTGTCTACAACTTGTCAAGTGTCTGCTACTCACACATCCGACAGTCCATTCGAAAGGATGAACCAACTAGTCAACTCACTTCTATAACCATTTCACTCGCTCCCACTCGACGCGAGTGGCCGGCGCAGGCGCTTTACCAACTTTCGTATCATATTTATAAGTAGAAATGCAATTATTAATGCACACACCTTTGGGAAAGAAAAAAATGTATGAATATTTATATAAATACATACATATATGTAAAACGTCAAGCACAAGGTGCGCAGCACGATGTATGTGGAAAATATGTGGCATACCTGAAAGAAATGTTCGAGAAATTCGTGTTTTTCAATAATACCCTTTATATATTTGTATAGCAACTGGTACGGTGTATTATAATTTCGCTACAATATGTATGGGGCGTGACTTTAACTAAATATTAATATTATTGTAACTTATCAATTTATAGCATAATTGAATTTTATGTACATTATGGATATAAAAAAATATTTATACTTAGTATTCGGTATACCGAATGTAATTATATGGTAATTTAGGTTTAATTGAATTATTGGTTAAGTGAACATTTAAATCCAAAAAAAATCTAAACCTATAAAAATTTATATTCACATTAATTACTCATACTTGAACAACTGCAAATTGATTTCGTATCAATTTATTGTACTATGTTAAGTTGCTCCTCTACTACTGCTAAGACACTAAGTACGTTAATGTTAGCTAACATTTCTGTTAAACTCGCAGCTTTTGCTCGATTGTCCTATTCGAATATTGGCAGCCTCATAATAAGAGTAACTGTATGTTAACTTACTATGCGTATGTTAATAATCTCTTCTGTTAAATTAACAGATCTTTAATTTCTACTGTTACATAGCTCAATCAAATCAATTTCAAAGCGTTTATAGTCTCTATTTCTTTATAGCACAGGGTATTTGGTCATCTATGATTGAGAAGTGCAACTATTCTGAGGTTGCTTCAGTTATGGGCCGTATTTTTGTTGGATGCCTCCCCTATTCCATCAATATTCACATAAATAAATTTGCCATTTTCTATTTTTCAATGTGATTGATGTGCATTGACGTGGACCATGTCCCATTAATTTTGTTTCTAATATGAAAGCTTTGTATGTGGGAATGATGAATTTTAAATTTTAATTAAATGCAAGTGTGCAATATTAACACGGAACAATATTGAAAGCTGATGAATAATAGATACTCATTGCTCATTTGAAGTGAGAGTTTTATATATGTATTAGTAAAGATTATTACAGGGTATACCATGACACATTCCTTGCCTTCGAACAAGTAAATATCTTCTGGAAAAGTCGTCGAAATTTGTTATTCATTCATTTATTTATTTGTTGTTTCTGATCAAATTTACGGCAATGATCGCATTGACTATGTCTTATACTATGAAACATTTTGATTTGTTGTTCGTCTCGCTGTTGTTGTTGTTGTTGTTGCTGCTGATATCGTTGTTGTTTGTCGACTATATAGTCATCCCTATCATTTGGCTAAGACGACAAGCATCTCGCTGTCGCTATCCGTTGTGCCGTGTGCAGACAGATATATTCTCAGAGTCCACATAGCGCCAGGGTAGCGGCCCCCAACAAAAAGTTGACAATTTTCTAGCCCGCTCAGTCGAAAATCGTTGCTAATCGAAGCCAAAAGGCTCTAACTACAAATTAAGAAAACAAAAATACGTTTTTTGCGAATTTTTATTATAACGAACGAAAAGTAAATACACACACATATAAATATATATGTATATATATGTATTTATACGAGAGTTTCTGCAATTCATTTTCATACAGATAAAACTTGTGAACAAATATCGGTAAAAAGCTGCCACAGAGAAATTAAATCAAGAACTGCATATGATGAAGTTTAATTATAGAAAATTTGGCACACATTTTGACACCACACACATAAAAAAGAAAAGCAAGAACAAAAAAACGAGATGAAAACGAGGAAAAGCGAAGGAAAATAACGTAAAAGAAAAATGTAGCTGGCTCCATTGGGGCAATGTAACGAAAAAAGAAAAACATTTCCCACGAACTCGTATTTATAGATCTGTTTTTTAGTGAAATAGCTTTTGCCCCAGAGTACACAGATGTTCTAACTGGCCAACTGGCCTAGCCTAGCCTAGGCTGGCCTGGCCTAGCCTGGCCTCCTCTGGCTTTATATAGTGCAAATTGATTGTGCGTAACTGGCGAAATGTTGCAACTATTTATCCATGTGAACGTTTTTGAGATCAGACAACACAGCTGCCACTTGACCTTTATGGATCAGACCCTGAACAGAGAGTGTAAACAATTTATTGAACAATTCGTCTTTGCATTCAATTAGCTAATCATGATAATGCAGTTTCCCCCATTTCAAATTCGCACAAGCGTACGAAGAATTTTCGCACAACATTTTCGCCCTGTTACCGCATACAAAAAAATAAGAGAACGAATGATGTGAAATGAAAAACTTTTCAAACTCTTGTGTGTTTATGTGTGTGTGTGTGTGTGATGTGTGTAGAACAAGTTGAAAAACCACAGACGCCGCTGCCTTGGCTGCTTGTGAGATATTCACACATACACACAACACACACACATTGACGTGGCAGTGCTACGCACACATTCATATTTCCATCCCACTCTCTGGCGAGATATTAGATGAAAATTGTTCCGCATCTAAAGTTTCTCAAATGAAACCAACAAAAACCAACTGAAAAAGAAAAGCACAAATTTTTCGAATAAAACTGAAACATGGGAATTCTCAGCGCCGTGTGCCGTGTGCACTCACAATTCTATAGATTAGTTTGCGTTGAGCAATCTTCCAGTTCAGTTCTCAGTTCTTTCGTGTGTGGTGTTTGTGTCGATCAATGTAGGTGCTGTTCCTCCCCAAACACAAATATACATATCTATATATTATCACAGATATACGTATATATATATTGCAGCGTGCTTTTAACCGATATCTGTTCAGCAGTTAACAAATGTAAACAGCTTTAACACATCTAAAACAACTGCATGCATGCATATATTTGTCACCCACTGTACAATGAAGACGGGCAAAAAAACGGGCACTGGGTGCTGAGTCAGAGCGGGTCGGAAAATGGGTTTGTCATCGGGCAGTGTTCATATTCACCTGTGTTATTTTTAAAGCAAAAAAAGACTCGCTCAACCACAGATACACATTCTATAGCTCAACAATTTGTTTGCTGGCAAAAGATATATGAATTTATTTTGAAGAAATTTCAAACGTTTTCCATTTGCTGTTCATAAATTTCATATATACTATAGATGTGCGCGTGTTTTTATTACGTAGGTGGGCTTGCTGTCCGTTGGGTAATTTTCATCTACAAAATCAACTCATTAGCAGAGAGACAATGGACGTTTCCAATGGTGATTTATGACAGACGACAATAAAGAAGATTATCTGCTTAAAATTGGCAAACTTAGGATATGACGCACATGTAGTAGGACCTGCAAACATTACCCTCTACATTTTAGTACATGCATTGGGGAAATGAAGAACTAGAACTACGATTTCATATACTGTTGATCATTTAGTTCATTTTAGTACATGTATTAAGAACTACGTGAATTAGAAGTAGGAAACGTCGCAAAGTAGAATAGAGATAAGACATTTTTTATATAGTACATGCTATACGCATACGTTTTTAAGCTTATTTTTACTCCTTAAGTGGATGAATGAATATTATTTGGCACGTGTACTAAAATATACAAACATCCTTTCTTTAAGATTTCAATTTGAGATTTGAGGCAGTTAATGAAATAACATATATTACACGACTTCTGAGTACAATTAGACTTATACAAACAAAAATAATTTAGTACATATACTAAAAAAATGAAAATATATTTGGATCGATTGATCAGTTTTTATTAAAGCTAAAATATAACGAGTAATTATTAGGCGTAAACATGTACTAAACGTATAAAAGAAAAACTCTAGCACTTAATGGACTACAAATCCTACCATAAATACAATGGGACACAAAAAACATATTTATTTGATTCTTCAGTACATGTACTAAAATATCAATGACAGCTTGAACTAATAAAAACAAAACTGATTTCATACATGTACTAAAAACTGAGTTCACCAACTTTGGCTAGAGTTTATGCACATGCTACTTTTCATCTGATGCAGCAACTAAACCATCAACGTGTTCATCTCTATCAACACCACTAAAACCAAAGCCATCACCACAATTACCACAGCTTTGCTTCAATTCGCTTTCCAACGCTGCAACGAACGAGACGATGGAGGCACTGTATGTTGAATCTTCTGCTCTCTGTTTGCACTTTCAGATAATAAGCATATAATATACATAGATACAGATAATCGTACCCCAAGTCGTGGTTAGAGCTCAGTTTGATTGCAATCCGAAAGGGAATATCCTCAATATACCTCAAATCCGAGTACAACAACAAGCAAGAACAAAAACAACAAATACAGTCGCAGAATGCCCCTACAACCGATCGAGTCCCCCAAATGCCCGCGCTGCGGCAAGAGCGTATACGCCGCTGAGGAGCGCCTGGCTGGCGGCTATGTATTCCACAAGAATTGCTTCAAATGCTCCATGTGCAACAAATCCTTGGACTCGACCAATTGCTCAGAGCACGATCGGGAGCTGTACTGCAAGGTGTGCCACGGACGCAAATATGGGCCGAAGGGCTACGGCTTCGGCACCGGCGCCGGCACACTCTCCATGGACAATGGCGCACAGTTCCAGAACGGCGATGTGGTGAGGAACGGTGCTCGGCTTGAGCCACGCGCCATTGCCAGGGCGCCGGAGGGCGAGGGCTGCCCCAGATGCGGCGGCTATGTCTATGCCGCCGAACAGATGCTGGCCCGCGGACGCGCCTGGCACAAGGAGTGCTTCAAGTGCGGCACCTGCAAGAAGGGCCTCGACTCGATCCTGTGCTGCGAGGCGCCCGACAAGAACATCTACTGCAAGGGCTGCTATGCCAAGCAGTTCGGACCCAAGGGCTATGGCTATGGCCAGGGCGGCGGCGCTCTCCAGTCGGATTGCTATGCCACCGAGGATGGTGCACCATCGATGCGTGCCGCCATCGAGGTGGACAGGATTAAGGCACGTCCCGGCGAGGGTTGTCCGCGCTGCGGCGGCGCCGTCTTTGCCGCCGAGCAGAAGCTGTCCAAGGGCCGTGAGTGGCACAAGAAGTGCTACAACTGCAAAGACTGCCACAGGACTCTGGACTCGATCAATGCCAGCGATGGCCCCGATGGCGATGTTTACTGCAGGACCTGCTACGGCAAGAAGTGGGGCCCACACGGCTATGGCTTTGCCTGCGGCTCTGGTTTCCTGCAGACGGATGGCTTGACCGAGGAACAGATCAGCTCAAGTCGCCCGTTCATCAATCCGGATACCACCTCGATCAAGGCGCCCGAAGGCGAGGGCTGCCCACGCTGCGGCGGCGCCGTCTTTGCCGCCGAGCAGCAGCTCTCCAAGGGCAAGATGTGGCACAAAAAGTGCTACAATTGCACCGATTGCCATCGTCCACTCGACTCGGTGCTGGCCTGCGATGGCCCCGATGGCGACATTTACTGCAAGGCCTGCTACGGCAAGCGGTATGGCCCCAAGGGCTTTGGCTATGGCCATGCCCCCACCCTGGTCTCCACCAGCGGCGAGTCCACCATCCAGTTTCCCGATGGCGGTCCACTGAACGGCCAAAAGACGTCCGGCGGTTGTCCACGCTGCGGCTTTGCCGTCTTTGCCGCCGAACAGATGATCAGCAAGAGTCGCATTTGGCACAAGCGCTGCTTCTACTGCTCCGATTGCCGCAAGTCTCTCGACTCTACGAACCTCAATGACGGACCCGATGGCGACATCTACTGCCGCTCCTGCTACAGCCGCAATTTCGGACCCAAGGGCGTGGGCTACGGCCTCGGCGCGGGCGCTTTGACAACGTTCTAAATGCCTTTCAAAATACCCTTAAATTACCCAATAATCCAATATTATCCAGCAACAATCGTTCCGATTTACCATATTTGTTTTAATCTATCCCAAGAAAGAAAGAAAAAGGTGTAAAACTCTTCACTTAACTCCATCCGCAATGCTAGCTAACGTAGTCTTCGGTTTCCAACGATTTTTTGATTGAACGAAATGCAGAAACTGCTAACGTTTTTGTCTTAGGTTATGTGAGAAATAAGCTTTATGGAACAACAAAAAACAGAAATGAAAAAAATTTCACACAAAAAAAAGAATAAAAGAAATTTAAGAAAACCACAAAAAAAAATATATATATATTGAAGTTGAAAACTTACGAGAGAAAAGCTTAAAAGAAATAATACGAAATTAACTATCGAACGCCAACTAACGAATCAAGCGACAACGGCACAGGCAAAGGCATAATATAAACAAAGATCATAAATTTTGAAACATTTATTATAATTATTATAATAGAAACATAAATGAAATGCAGGCTAACAGAGAGCTACAGTTGCAGCTAAAATTTCGAATAGGCAACTGTACCGCACTGAGACTTACAGAGATCGAAGTGTAGAAAGAGAACTGCAGTCGCTTTTTTTTTAAATATTATTATTATCTATTTCGAAAATGCTCCAATATAAAAGCAGAGATATACTATAGAGCTATTGCTCCTATGCTAATGATTATGATAATTGATAAATGAAAATGATGATGATGATGATATATTTATGTATATTTAGCTTATTTAGTTTATATGTTATAAGTACTTTCGAAATCTTGATGATATTTTTTTTTTTTCCAATTATTCGGTTTGATTTTTCTCTAATTCTAATTCTAATCCATGAGCAATGTTTGGACTCGCTCTATATACAATACGCACACACAAACACATTATAACATCCAATAATATATGCCCCAGTGGGTTCCATGGAAACAAATGGAATGTTTTTCTTTCGTTCTTTTGGAATTTGTTGTTTTCGAACGTTGCACATAATTTGATTATAGTTATTATTATTTTTTTAATTAATTGGCTATGTCGGCATACCTGAGTAATTAGTTTTAGTGGGTGTTTGTTTTCTAGTTCGGCGAGAGATTGAGCCATACAATATGGTCTATATTTAGCAGCCGACCGATCGACCGACTTCGTGTACAAAATAATTGCTCAACATTCTCTGGCTATACTTAAGTTTCGACGTCGGCAGATATATATATATTTATATATATGTATATACATATATTTAAATATATATGTTTTTTGTATACTCAGACTTCTCATTTGGGTTGCTCAAGCATGTTCCATAACCGTATTCGAAACGATTTTCTAAATATAAATATGATGCTAATATGCTGCATTTCAAGAGAGAGACAGAGAGAGAGCGTGAGAAAACTTTTTGACTAGTGAATGTAAAAGCTTCTTCTTGAACTTTAAGTTTTTCACTCAAGAGATCTGGTTCGTTGCAATGACGGTATTTATTGCCACGTACTCTCGGTTTTCAATACTCACTCTTAACTAGACTCTTGAGCAATTCCTATTCCTTGATGTTCTTTGATCAGAGTATTGAAATATTGGAATTTCTCGTCATTTCACATTTTTAAAATCTAAAAAGAACAAAAAATGCTTTTGAACTAATCACATAGCGACGTTTGAGCGTCATCAACTGAACATTTTTCAAAATTATTTACAAATCTTTCAGAGCTTCTTCTATACTATATGAAGTGTTTCATATACCCTATGGATTAAGTGCAGTATATTAACGAACTAGTGAAGTGTGTCATCTCATTTGAAAATGTTTATAGTCTTAAGTGAAAGTATATGATATGAAAAGTATCAAAAATATGAAATTCTTCGTCTATATTTAATGTTAACTAGATAATGTAATACAGTTAATATAAAAATCAAGAAGAACAATTAAGGCATATGTCTTTTAACTTTCTTTTATATTTTTATAAGAAAGTAGAGTTTAGATGAAAAGCTGAATGCCCTCAGTAAATATACTTTATATAAAACAAAACTTGAATAGCATTTAGAAGATAATTAGCGAAAGCGCTGTGAATATGGAGTCAGTTGCCTTGATCACAAGGTATCTCAAAACTACCTGAATGCGCTTATGTGATACATGTACATACATGTACATGTAGCTATTTTTGGTAATTATTATACCCTGTGGACATATAAAAAGGTAGAATAGTTTTGCACACAGTTATGGTTGGAAGTTTTCTTAAGCTGCCAAGAATTTTCAGCTTATCTTGACGTTTTTCAAAGAGCTAACTATCTATAAAACAAGCACTACTCTATAATTAAGTACATTAATACTAGTATCTAAACTGAAACTCTCTCTTCACTAATCTCCGTCTGCTACAGCGTATCTGTTAGTCGATCAATTTCGCAGATTTCCTTCGCAGTATTTAAAATGACGTTGACCACGAAATAAATATAAAATAGTTGACGTTGCTATGCCAGCAGGCAGCAGGCGGCGGCACATTCATTCGATGCCATATTCATAAGAGTCATATATATTATATTATACATGTGTATTTTTGTTGAAATAATGTTTTCAATAGCAAAAATAAATGAAATAAATTGTCTGAGGTCGTTTGTAGCCAGGTGTGTTGTTCGATACGATCGTTGTTTGCGCTGTTCGATACGTAGCTATGCTATATTTTTAGATCCATCCACCTAGTCAGCATCTATTTTCGAGTGATTCAATTTTGAAATTTTTGCACATATGACACATGCGAACCGCTCTTAACCTATTCTGATTGATAAACAACGCGAATGACTATGCCGATGGGTTCTAAATATAGTTCATCTGTATACATATCTAAATTTCCCTTTTGGCTTTAATTAATCTTTAATATCTTGTGATCTGTGGCGCGAACGGATTTATGCGTTGTTGAAATACGTATGTATACGTTAGCGAGATTTTGATTATGAAATAAAAATAAATTATGTTAAGTAACACATAAGAGCAGGTAAGCAAATCGACTCGAGTCTGGAGAAAACCCATTTGTAATTTGATTGATATCATCTGATTTATCCTAGACACATCAATCTCTTTTACGTGACTGCATTGCATTTAATGGCCAACAATATCGATTTTATGTGGGGCTGTTTTTCAAGCTGGTCACACTTGAGCTAACAAATTACTAGTTATAAAGTTGAAATTGCAATTTATTGTGAACAAGAGAGCTACAATCAAGAACTAGCGGCGATTTCGCATACTACCAATGCCTAAAGAGCGAAGACTTGATACCCTTATATCCATAATAAAATCATATAATTGTGATTTTCTAGAAGGAGAGTACCATAAGTTTAACATAGGTCAACTTTAGTTCCCATGGATCACTCCAATACTATATGTACATGGATCGGTTGAGTCCAACTCGATTTTGAAAAGATCTACCGACATTTCTCATATGAACACTATTATACCCCTTGATGGAAGTGTATTTGTAAATATAATAATCATAAACGGAAGGACCTCATGCTGCGTTATTTGCAGCTCTGTGGTGGTGGTTGTGGTGGTGGTAGTGACATTGCCATCGTGTGTGCCCAGCGGGTGGTGGGTGATAACTTATAAATTTGTCACCCGTAACTGTATTCAATTATAGGCGGTTGTCAAAATTGATATTCGACTATTGCTCACACACAGTCACGCTCTCTTATACCAGAGTTATAAGAGAATGAGAGAGAGATATAATGATTATATGCTCTCACACCACCTGCAGAGAATCTTATAAAACTAACATTGTCCCCTTGACTTAACTGATTTGCTCTCTGAGAAGTCATAAATATTAAATAGTCACATACAATTTTCCGAAAGCAATTAAATGGCTTTTTTTTAACACCACCCAACTGAGTAAAGGCAGACCTTCATGCGGGTTTACCCGGTAGCAAAATCAACACCTTTTTTGGCAGTGGGTGCGTAATGCCGTTAGTCTGTCGGACGTCCTCCTGTCATTGCATTTGTCAAATTCATAGGCACGACACGTGCGCTGCGTGCGTTTTATTATTGTAGATATTACTTTTATGACGTCAAGCATTGCTCGATTGCCATCTACACTTAGAGAGTAGGAAAGGCAAAAAGAAACTGTTATAAAGCACAGGAAACGCTAACATGCACATTAAGAGCTGCTAACACTCTGTTCAGCTAATCAAGACTTGTCTCTGTTAAATTGCTGTTAATTCAATTAACAGTTCTGTCATAACCTCTGCTCAGTGTTATTACAAACTGTTCCCACCCACCTACAATGCGCGCTTTGTGTGGGCGTGGGTGTGTTTGTGTGTGCATTGCAAATATTTATTTGACTGTTGACATTTTTAATAAAAATTTGATCTTTAAAATATATTTGCCTAACCACTGGCACTTTATGCATTTCGGTTGATTGAAGTATAAGTCATTTGAAATGAGTTGATTTAGTGCCGCGTGCACAAAGCTGAAACGTGGCCTGAACAAATATTTATACCCATTTCGCTCTGTTCACTCCTGTTTCCCTTTTTTGTTGTTGCAGTTGAATGACCTAAGCAGAGCAGACATAAAACCCTAATATGAGCGGCACCACCAGCGGGAGCAGCAGCATCAGCGTCAAGCACCTGCCTGGCTTGATTTGGTGGTCTGCTTGGGCAACAGTCTGATGCATATGCATTAATGCATATTATATGGCTCAAATTGTCGGGTCGGTTAATTAAGCATGTCATATTGCTGTCGCTTGCCTCACAACTAAATTTCTTTGTTGCCCCAGCGACCACAGCAAAAGCAGAAACAACAACGACAAAAGCTGAATATTAATATTAATTTTCCAACTTTGTACGTTTCTGACAATCCGGCGCCATTATTGCGCTCTTTGCCACCTTCTTTGATTTGATGACAGTCAATAGAGCCGGTGAGCGGGGAGTGCGGCCAAGAAGCACGGCACACCGTTGGCTATGCAACGGCAATGTTTGTGAGCCGTTCCCATTTTCCAGTCGCTTTGCGTTGTTTGTTTTGTAAAACAGGCACGCTCAGTCAAGCTGCAACAACTCCCCGTATTGCTCTTCGCCGTCAGGTAAATGCCACTTAACATTTTTTTCCTCACGTCTCTTTTCTACCCCATGATTTTTCGGGCTTTGTATTTCCATTTATTTGCATCACAAATTGTACTACCTCTCGCTCTTTCGACTCCAGCTGCAAATAATCATCTTCTTCTTTTATTTATTGCCAATTGCCAGTGTCTGGTGGTCGCAGGTTTGTGGGTCTCGGACTGCCAGCACCACCTCGTTCTCCTGTAAACATCGTCTTACAATTCAATTATTTTTCATTTTCCTGTTTTTGTCTTCTTCAATCGTTCACGGCGCTGTCTGTCTGGCTCAGGCAACAGCGGCGGCAGCAGTAACAGCAGCAACAACAACAGAATTAACCTGCATGCAGCACCCGCCCCCGTTGACAGCATTGCATAAAGCACACGAAAACACATACGCAGATGCGAGAGCGAACGAAAGAGAACGTGCAGCCGATACATTCATTGTTGTTGTTGCTGCTCTCGTTTGTTAGTATGTTGCAATGGGCTCTCTCTCACTCTCGCTCTCTCTCTCGTCTATTTGCGCTCACGCGCATCTAAAACTGTTCCCAAAAGTTGTGAATGGCTGGGAACAGTTTAGCAGATAAAACATTTATAAATATTAAGCACAATTAAACGACCAAATAATTACCGAGCTTTTTGTATTATTCGTTATCATCTCGTTTCTCATTTTGTTTTGCTAAGCTTTTCGCTGTTTTCACTTCCTGGTTATTTTGAAGCTGTCTGCACGTTGATAACAGTGTCGTCACTGTTGTTGTTGCCGTCTTTATTACAACATCAACAACATTACGACATTTGCTGTGTGTTAGAGCTTGCATTTATGTTGATGTGTGCGTTTGTATCTGTGTGTGTCGAGCGCCTCTGAAAGATTCACTTTTAT